ATTCAAATAATTAGGTATAATTATTGTTTTTCTTTATAAGTTATGAATTATAATTTTATTACTAATCTGAACTGAACTTATTCCAACGATTGAAGTATATTAAAATATATGGCTTATTTTTAGAGTTCAAATGTTTAATCACTCATCTCTATATTTATGGTACTAAAAAGTAAGTTATAATTTAGTTGCTTCTAATAATTTATAATTTATAATTGGCCTTTGTTTGATAGAAGAAATATGGAAAAGTTGAGAATTCAGATCTTTGGCTGTATTTCATTCACAAAAAGAAGAATATTGCACGAGCAAAGAAAAGAAAGAGTTTCGAAGAAAAGCTAAAAAGGAACATAGAAATTTTAGAAATCCAAGAAAAGGAGGTCAGTTCACAGGCTCTAATACTATTAAAAAAAGTTTTACCAGGAAAGAAGCCAACATGAATATTATTCTCAATCGTGACTTGTTAGCATGTTGTTTTGTTTAAAGAAAAGTTTAAGTTAACAAATTTTTGCGATCAATAGGATTGACAAAATATAAGAATTAAGTATGATTTCGCGGAGGAAAAAGAAAAAACTTTCATCTGAAAAACACTCTAAAGAAAAAACTAAAAATACCAATATTCCCAATTTGTTGTATTAAAAAAAAATTAATATCATCATGTGCTGTATATAATAAAAATAAAAATATAAGGGGCAACAAAGTATGTATATAAAGTATGTCGAAGAAAAAAAAACCAACGTATGTATATACGCTACGATTTGAAATTAAACAATTTTAAAAAATAGTTAAACAACTCCCAGTTTTTAAGAATGGAAGAGTGTTTACTAAATATATATATATATATATATATATATATATATATTTAACTTTTTAGGAGAATTCTACTAATTTCTTTCAACACTTTGGTAGGAGAATCCTACTACTTTTTTTGCTTTAAAACAAGAATTCTGTATTTTTTTACCAACCTATTCTTTTATAGGAGAATCCTATTTTTTTTGTTCAACTACTGGTTTTTTTTCCCAACCTATTTTTAGGAGAATTCTGATTTTTTTTTTAAACCTGTGTTCTAATGGAATCCTACTGATTTATATAGGAGAATAAGAATGAAACAGAAAAAAAAATTGGAGCACGGTTTATAGGTTTCTAAAATGGTATAATAATGTTTAAATATTGAATATATATATATATATATGTATTTACAAGAAATTACGGTATAAATGTTAAACAAATTAGAACAGGCATGAATTCTCCCCAATTAGGCGAGCAAAGCATATGATTCTTCAAGAAATCCAAACTATTTTTTTGTCTAAAACCAAAATGAAGTTATTTTTAATTACAGTAAAATGAACCATCAAGAATTCAAGTAAAAATATCAATACTTTTGAAGTAAGTGTAAACATTCCATGGAAACCTATTCATAATTATTGTTCGGTCTTTCAAATTCATCTCATTAGTTGCATGTCAATCGAAGTTAATAATAAAGATTAAAAAATAAACACAATTCAAACCCTTTAAGATATAATTGAAACTTTTAAAAGTCTAAAACTAATTAAACATAATGCTGAAATTATATATTATAAAGATAAATTCTTAATTTGATGTCTCCCAACTATGTATACCTGCACACATGTAAGTTTAAATATATTGGTTTGATTTTCCATCTAATATTTATTTACTCAACAAAATAAATAAATCAATAAATATATATATATATATATATATTTATATTTATATACACACGCATAATTGATTCCCATCAATTTGATAACTTTAGCATTTTAAAGTTGAAAAAGCGATAAAGTGGTTTATTTATTTGTTTTTGGAGAAAGTACTTATCATAATGAGAGATAATGTGGATTGAAAGGAAAAAAAAAGGGAAACAAGAAGTATAGTAAAATAGAGAGTGATGAAAGGTGAATTTATTTTAGTACAATAAATGTGGGGTACGAGAATTTGAGTCTTCGACTTTAAAGGAAGAGTAAATGTCTCGTACCGCTGATTTATGTTCATGTTAATAATTAAATATTAAAATAGTTAAATCATATTTTAAACTTTTGTACTTTTAACTCCAGCTCTTTTCTATGGCTGTGTATATTACTTTTTATTATTATTATTTATTATTATTATTTTGACTGAGTTGGCTATATTACTTAATATAGTTTATCATCTCTATTATTAATGAAAAGAAACTATAATCTAATGTACAAACTTTTCTAGATATTTAAAATTAGTTCCATGATATGACACATGAAATTGAGTGTGGTAAATCAAATTTGGTTGAAAAGCATTTTAGGTGGGATGTTAAGAAATTCTTTTAGTTGAAAAGTACAAGTAAAATTGTTTTAGAGTGCAATAGACTACAAATACTTTATTTTGAGTAATTTTATAGTGCACTAAATAATTTACCACGTTCAAATTTTGTTAACCTTCTTTATAAATGAAAAAAATATTGGGTACAATCTCTTTCATTTCGTTTGGGTTGCATCGGTCCTCTCAACTAAGGTCTGTATTGTTTTGCGGAAACTTGGGTATCATACTTAAATAAAATGTAATTTAACGAAAAAGAAAAAAGGTTCTGAATCCACGGCTAAAAACTAAAGGTAAATTCTAAAGGCTAAAAATGTAATTTAACCAAAAAAAATTTAAGAGATTAATTTTCATTGATTATTTAATTAATACCAATTTAATTATAATAAATTTTGGGTTCCTTTAGCGTGTACATTATAGGCACTTAAAATGCTTTCAAGTCTTTCCTTGAACGGAGAACCTGCCAAACTCACTTTTTTTATGTTGATTAATTACTTTATTTTACTAAAATTAAAGGTCCAAATTTGATCCTTAATTTCTATCCATTATTAGGGGTGTTCACAAGTTGGGTTGGGTCGGGTCGGGTTAAGGGGTTTTTTGGGACCAACCCGAATTTTCGGGTTGACCATATGTAGAACCCAACCCAACCCAAATTGATGGCCAACCCAACCCAACTCAATCCAAAAAATTTGGGTTGAGTCGAGTTGGGTTGTCGGTTTTCTTTTTTTTTAATTATTAATTTACTTTTGTTTTGTTTATAACATAGACAAAAAAAATATAAAAAAATCAAAATCTTAATTTAAACACAAAGTCGATGATGAGATTGAGTTTTTAAAAATAAGAATTATTAATTTATTATATATATGTAATATTATATTATAAGTAATATATATATATAAATATAATAAAAAAAACATATATAGGGTTGACCCGACATTTTCAAAGGTCAACCCGAGATCCGATCCAATCCGATCGGGTTGGGATTTTTCCAACCCAACCCAATGTTGGAGGACCAATTATCTGTTTTTTAGTTCAATTTTTTAATGTTCAAATTAGTTTTGTGGCAGATTGAAAAGTATGAGTCTACTGAAAATTAATAAATCAAAATGAGGTTTTAATAAAACATGGGCAACAGGACAGCTATAGAAATAAGTATGAGGGATTTTCGAAAATCATGTATCTTCCTTGACATCGAAATTTATGTATTGAAATATAAGATAACTAAATAAGTAACAATGGGCAAATTTAGTAAGATTTGAATTAATTTCTCCTTCTCCAAACAAAATATTAATAATAAAATGTGGCAACTATATATATCATGAACATAATTCAGTAGTAATTGACATTTATTCTTTTGGTCCGAACCTCGATACTTTCAATTTATTAACTAAAATAATAATAATAATAATAATTTGATTAGAAAATGAAATTTATTGGCGACGGTACATTTCACTTTATGAACAAAATATCTTAATAGAAAAGTACATACTCATAATAGTTTATTATTAATATTTCGATCATAATATTTATTTTTTAAAAGTACTTCATCCTTTGAAGAAAAATATAAATTCTCGTGATTTGTATAAAAAATAAGTTTGAAAACTAAACAAAATTAGTTATGAAATATAATTTTATTTAAGTAGAATAATACTTATGAATAAAGACACCAGGGATCCGTATATAAAGGTGAAATTATTTATAATCGTAACTAAATCTCATGTCATTATTTAAGTTTGGTCATAAGTCAATTATTAATCTACTACAATTGCCCAATTGTCAAATTACGATGAGAGTTTTGTCTTTCGATCATGCTAGTTATGTGTATGTCAGCCAAACCAGGCTGAGTCAGAAAGGTTTTGCTCAAGGTTCATATTAGGAAAAGGAGAACGAAGGGAAGAGGGGGCTGCCCTCAACTCGATCATCCTCCAACAAATATGCATGGTTCTATAGTCAAGCAACTTTGTCGTGAATGAGAACTAGGGCACTAAGTACAAGAGGAAGATTGATATGTGGTAACTTCTACATAGTTCCAATGTACGAGATCTTGTAGGACTTACCAATGAGGCCCTATCGATTAGTTGTGGTTATATAGAAAAACCAAGTAGTCAGAGTCACATAAATACTAGGTGATGAAATACATCTTATGTATAAAGAGTCTCCTAATGCACAATGTGTTTTTTTTCACGCTTCTCGATTTCATAGGGTTGATCGAGACATTCTAGGAGTTCGGTTCTTGGCTTTGATCCACTTCCAAAGCTCGTTTGCGCACTAGCTGAATGTTATTTTCAATTGACTTTAGTCAGGAAAGAAGTATGGAAATACCATACCGCCTTAAACCAGCGCCAGAAAAAATAGAGCTTAGTGAGCGGCATTACGCCGTATTCGATTCAACGTTAATTTGAACTTTGTGCCAATTCACCATTGAATGAGTTTTGAACTTGTTTGATTCTAGGCCCAATTATCATATCACCCAATTTGATCAACCTTAATCTCATCAAACGACCCTAAGAAATACACGTGACAATTATTTGAATTTGTCATTTTTTTACCTTTCAAACTTAATTTAGGGATACATATATGCTAATCTCTAATTTCCCCAAATTCGATAACATATAATTTCGTCATTAATCTTAAAATATGACATGGAATTGGCTAAAATTGGCTAAAATTTATGCTTATTCATCTGCATATTCCTTCTTCTTTCTCTATAAATATATGAATTTGCAACAACAAAAAAGATGTCTAAATACAAACTGATTGCACTCATAATGGATTTAGCTCTTAAAGAATCCACATCAAAGAAAGAAGAAGATCATGAACATGCTCGTGTTCAAATGTGGAACTACATCTTTGGCTTCACTGAAGTGGCAATAATAAAATGCGCCATCGAGCTCAAAATCGCGGACACCATCGAAAGCCATGGCAGTCCCATGACACTCTCGAAATTATCATCAGCTTTAAACTGTTCTCCACCCCTCCTCTATCGCATCCTGCGATTCCTCACCCACCGCGGGATTTTCAAAGAAGAAACCACAGCACAGAATCTCACAGGCTACGCCCAAACACCGTTGTCCCGCCTGCTGGCCAGCAACAGCAACAACAGCATGGCTCCATTTCTGTTGCTGGAGAGCAACCCCGTGATGCTGGCGCCGTGGCACAACTTGAGCGCACTAATTAAGGCCAAAGACGGCACCCCATTTGAGGCCACTCATGGGAAGGATTTGTGGAGTTACACTGCGGCTGATCCAACGCACAACAAGATTTTCAATGATGCCATGGCCTGCGCTGCGAGGGTGATCACTGTGCCGGCAATTCTTGAAGGCTGTGGAGAGATTTTTGAAGGGGTTGGATCTTTGGTGGATGTGGGAGGAGGAAATGGCACAAGCTTGAGCATGATTGTGAAGGCCTGCCCTTGGATCCAAGGCATCAACTTTGACCTTCCACATGTTGTTTCTGTTGCACAAGAATGCGTGGGAGTGCAACATGTTGAGGGCAATATGTTTGATTGCATCCCCAAAGCTGATGCTGCTTTCATTATGGTATGATTATGATCTCTCCGATATATATTTCAAGTTAATGATGTAGGGTTCCGTCTCAAAACCAACCGGTAATGAGAGGAGTAATTCATATCTATTATAAACTTTCATAAGGTTTATTTTAAGTATATTTAGTACAAGAATTAACAGCTATACCCAATTACCATCTCTTTGGGTTTCACTCCTTAAAAACCACCCAGTACACTCTAATTTTATATATAATATGTAGTAAAAAATTAATTTGTTCAAAGTAGAATTTATGTGATCATTCAAAGTATGTAATGACAAGAGGAATTTATTAAGTGTTTCAATGAGTTTTGTTTCTCACTGTTTTTATGTGACAAACAAAACATTGATTTCAAACTCTCCCGAAAAAATTCATTTTTTACTGCATATTATATATAAAATTAGAGGATTTTTAATGAATAAATCTAAAAAGATAGCAATTGCGTAGCTGTTAACCCACTGTGGACTTTTTTCAATTTGCGATCCTTAACACGTCTCTTCAAGATCGTGGTTTTTGGCTCATTGGTCTTAATCAGATTTTATTTTTTGACCGAAGACTCGTTTGAGCTTCTTAAATTCTAATACTATATTAATATTCATGAGTTCCATCTCAAAACCAATTAACAATGGAGGAATAGTTCATGTCTATTATAAACCTTCAATGTCCCTTTTCTTTCAATGTCGAATTCTTAACAAAGTCATTAACTTTGATACACATGTATATAGTGGGTTCTACATGATTGGAACGATGAAGATTGCATCAAAATTCTGAAGAACTGTAGAGATGCCATTCCGAAAAAGATTGGAAAAGTGATAATTGTAGAAGCAGTCATTGATGGGAATGAAGAGAACAATTTATGGGATGTGGGGCTGTTGCTTGATATGGTGATGATGGCTCATACCAACAAGGGCAAGGAGAGGACATCTGAGGAATGGGCCTATGTGCTTCACAAGGCTGGTTTTACCCGATACACCATTACTCCCGTTAAAGCTGTTCAATCTGTTATTCAAGCTTTTATTTGATGTGTATCTAGAAAAGAAAATTTGAATCTACTCTTCTCGTACCGAGTTATTAATTATAATAAAAACGAGGTTAATTAACTTAAGCATAGTTCAGTAGTTTAAGAATTACATCGACTACTTCAAAAGGCAGTGTGTTTCTGTTTATGAATCTCCATTTTCTTAAGGTGTGTTTGAAGAGTAATGACGGTAGAATGAATGATTTTGAAAAAAATAGATTTAAGTATACATGTGATTTTAATTAGCTTTCCTAAAATTAATTTTTTAATTTGTCTGATCAATGAAAAAAATATGACTCCCAAACACACTCCTCTTCTAAAAAATCTCTTTTACTGTTGGGGGACTCTTTTAATATAATTTTTATTTAAGTTTATAATTGCAAACTATAGTTATGTGCTCTGGAAACTTTTAGAAAACATTTCTTTTATATTTTAAAAATAAAATCTTAATAAAAAATTATATAATATGATGGTAGAATTTGCGATTTTGATAAGGATCTGTTTTAGAGTGACGGTAGAATTAGTGATTTAAAAAAAAAGAGATTTAAGAATAATTAATTTTTCGAAATCACCATATCCAAGTCGTACTTTAAAACTCACTCCCTTAAAATCAACGTTTTAATTTGACAAACTAGAGTGATTATGATAATGTTAAAAATAATTTTGAAGATGCTAAAATCGTTCTCAAACTCACCCTAAATTAAATATCTCAGATCACTATTTTAGAACACCATGACAAAAGTGATCGTTTCAGGCCATTTCAACCTTAAAATATAATTCATTATATTATTGCATATATGTACCAAATTAATGTAAAAACCAGTGAAGAAATCAAATAAAAGAAAGTAATAATACTATTACTCTTTTGCTATTTTTTTTAATAATATTATTTGTTTGAAGATGGCCATTATTTTGGTCCGTTATATTATATGGAATACTATATAATTCCAACGAGCGGCTCACATGTGAAAACTATTTTATAATTTTTTTTAAAGTATACAATTACCAAATTGAAATATAAGTACAAATCTAAAATAAAATTTGAAAACAATTTAAGAACCACCAATTAAAATATAATTTAAGTTTTATTTATATATTTTTATTTTATTTTGTTACATATATCATGCTTTCAAAATTAGTATTTATTGGAATGAGGGTAAAATACTTATTTTTAAGACACCAAATAGTTTGTCACCCAAAATTATCATATTCTTTTAAATAACAATGTTTTTTAATTAGTTTAAAAATACAATATTTCTTAATAAATTTTATTAAAATATAACAATACGGATGTAATGAGAAGAAACCAATTTCAAAGACATGGACTAATTTGTATTAAAATACAATGGTTCAAAATGAAAACATCATCCATCGTAATATTATTCAAATAATGACATGTAAATTTGAATTATGTTCAAACTAGTTAAGAATATATATTATCGACCAAAATATTAAATATTCGAATTCTCACCTCATATGTTATTGAACTAAAAAAAATTCTTTTAATTTAATATTATGGATTAACTGATAAAGAGACCAAACTAACAACTGCAATAATGAATCTAAACTAAAGGTGGAAAGAATCATTCACGGAATACTTTTTTTATTTGTTAAAGAGGATTGAGTGAGTAACTAAAGGCGGAAAATAAATATATAATTGTGTAAAAAAAAAGGGAAAATTCCTTAGAAGTATTTAGCTTTTCTGAGCAAAAACATAAAAAAAAATAATGATTCAATAATGGAACGACTTTAATTTCCTTTTTTAGAAGGAATATTATTCGTAGTTAGCAGATAAGAAGGAATCGATCTGACCTTAATCTGAATTATTTTGTCTGTTCCTTTTCTTGGGAAAAGTCCATATCTCTTGTCCAGCAATAATTCAACTTTTGCTTTTCATCCAACTCGCTCTGCCCCTTAAACTACAATTATTCACACATTGATATTAATTTTATTAGTAAGACACTAAGTTTTAATCAATTGAGTTATATTCGATTTGATACGTGAGACTTATTTTTATACCAATCTGAAACACAAATGTTTTATTTTTAAACAATCCATTTCCATACGGTTAAAGTAATTAAAAATTTTTAATAGAGAATTTACTTTTTTTTTTATTGATTTGATTAATCAAATATGAACATAACTTAGCGATATAGATGTCTATTCCTTTCCTCTATTTCTTTCATTGATGCCCAGATTCGAATCTTCACCCTTTCACCTTTATTATACTAAAATATATTATTTTTAGATTATAGAGTCAATTTGACAGCCTTAGCATTTTAAATGAAATCATTTTTATATTGACAACCAAACAAAATCGCTTTTTGTTTTTACTTTTTGTCTTTTTGTTTTTTTTTTGAAAAAAGTACTTGTCATAATTAAAAAAAATAATATACTTTTGAAAAGAAAAAGGGAGATGATACAAATATAGTAAAATAGAGAGTGGCTAAACTTGAAAATTAATGGAAATAAAATGGTTGAATTAGACTTTTTAATCTCATATACATTTATTCGAACATAGTTTAGGGATAAAATACCTGTTACCATTCCAAAAATCAATAGTTTAATCCCCATTTTACAATTTCAAATTAGAAAAAAATGTTAGTTTTGAGTTTTTCTTTGAACTACTAATAATGTGATTTTTATTACTAGTTCTGAGTGAAATCCTAAACACAGTTTTATACGTTGGGTACTTTTGTTACTTCTTTAATAATTTAATAACAAATAACATTTCATAAGTTTTAATCCAAAGATATCTAGAGATGATTATGAAATTTTTAAAAGCACCAAACACTGAATAGAATACTAAGGTTGAATTGCCATCATATTAGAGTTATTAATTTCCATGGATTATTTATCATGAATATCAAGATATTTAATTCAACTTATAGTCAATCTGAAAAATCAACTTATAGTCAATCTGAAAAATCAACTTATAGTAAATTTGGGATAACACGTTGTATTTTGAGGTACACTTATAGATGCTTTTAAGTCTTCTAAAGTTTTTGCCAGAAAGAACGTATAGCTCCGTGTTTAGGTTCAAATCTTAATCCCAAATTTTGTGATATAATATTTTAAAAGAAATATTTTCTCAAAATTTATAAGTATGTTACTTTTTAAACATGTACTCAAATATGATGATATATATAAAAAAGTTTCTTTAATTAGTTAAAAGTAATTTTTAACGTTATAATTCTAAAAGCCATACCCAATTTCTCAAACTCTAGCATAACTCATTAATGCTATATAGAGTTAAGTCATCAATAATTTTTTCTATAGGTAGAAAGTTTTGATCCTCATTTTCCTCGCCCATAATTGTAATATTATTTGAGGAAAAAAAAGGACATGTCAAACCCGTTTTAATGTTGATTAATTACTTCGTATAATACTTAAATTAAGGGTCTACATGAGGTTTAGATGCTAAAGACTAGCCTTGAAACTCAAAGTTTGATTGTCTAATTTAAAAAAATTATTGTTTTTCTATTATTATTATTTTTTTAATTTTCCAGAATCGATATCGTGTGACTTACGCTTTGAATCTCTATAACCGGGATTTGTTGTCACCAACACAAAGCTTAAACTCAAGACTTATGGTAGGTGATACCGACAAAAAAAAATCCAACGAAATTCAAATGGGTCGATAAAAGTAACTTATGACGAAGAAATTAAAAGTTTATTATCATATGGTTTACACTGTGGATTTCTATAATCATAGGACTCATTGTTTGTGCTGAACTGTCGTGATATGCTATCACAGCGTCCAAAGTTCTTGTCACTGCGCCATTTTTGAGGGACACTCGCGACGAAATTCATCCAATACATGGAGAATGATTAAAGACGAAAGGCTCCAAATTATACCATCCTACCACAATATTCCCCTTCTGCTATATATATATATGTGTGCACTTGCAAAACTAAAGACAACTAGTAGAAAATTAGGAGTAAAGCCACCATGGAAATGACCCGTAGAGAATCCATATCAAAGAAAGAAGAAGAAGAAGAAGAACATGCTCGTGTCAAAATCTGGAAATACATATTCGGTTTCGTCGAGATGGCAGTAGTAAAATGTGCCATAGAACTTAAAATCGCAGAGGCCATCGAAACTCAAACAAGTCCCATGACGTTGTCGCAGTTATCATCTGCTCTAAGCTGCTCTCCTCCGCTCCTACACCGCATCCTAAGATTCCTCGTTCGTCGTGGCATTTTCAGAGAACAAACCACAACTGAAAACCTCACTGGCTACAGCCACACACCGTTGTCTCGCTTGCTCACTACAAGCATGGCTCCATTTCTGTTGCTCGAGAGCAGCCCCACAATGCTCGCACCATGGCAGAAGCTTAGCACGTGCGTTAAGGAGGGCAATGGGATTGCACCTTTTGAGGCTGCTCATGGGATGGATGTGTGGAGCTACGCTGCAGGTGATGCAGTGCACAGCGCGCTGATCAACCAGGCGATGGCGTGTTCTGGGAGGATGATCACTGTGCCTGCAATTCTTGAAGGGTGTAAAGAGATTTTTGAAGGGGTTGGATGTGTGGTGGATGTGGGGGGAGGAAATGGGACTAATTTGAGCATGATTGTGAAGGCTTGGCCTTGGATTCGAGGCATCAACTTTGATCTTCCACATGTCATTTCTGTTGCACAAGAATGCATGGGTGTGCAACATGTTGGTGGCGATATGTTTGATTCCATCCCCAAAGCTGATGCTGCTCTTCTCATGGTTTGTGTAGCCTAAAATTCGTATATTCTCGTTTGATATTTCTTTCGTTTCTCCTCAGTATTTCTAGTTTTATTAATATTTATAGAACCAATGTCTATTATAAACTTTTGTTAGGTCAATGTGGGATAATGTCCCTCAAGATCGTGGTTATTTTACTTTATCGATCGAATCCTACTTTTGGACCATAAGCTCGTTTGACTGTTTTAGGGTCTGATACCATATTAATATTCATGGAGTTCCATATCTAAAAACCAGTTAGACAATGAGGAGAGTAACTCATGTCTATTATAAATCCTTGTAACAAGTTTCATGTTTTTCAATCAAAAAAATAGAATTGGGTTTGGTTTATTTTGTGTTTTTATTTTAAAAAGAGAAAGTAAAACATATGTTGGTTAACTATTTATTCTTTCTCCTTCTAAAATAATTTTTATTAACAAATACAAGTGAAAATTTTATATGAAAATTAATTTTTTTTATCTAAAGTATTCAAAGTTTTTAGGTTATGTTTAATATTTGCTATATTTATTGTACATTTTATAAGTAAAAAAGATTATTTGAATAGAGCTTTTATCTATGTTTTGGGGGAAAAATGGAAAGAGATAAGAAAATAAGAAACCGTATTTTTTTTGTCTGTTAAATTTCTATACAATTTTGAAAATGTTTCTTATAAATGAAAAACAAGAGAGAAACCATTTTGTTAAACTCAAAACCCATTTCTCATAGTTTGTTTTTAATGGCCACAAACAATTTGACAACTTATCAAGTATTATTTCAATACACAGCTTTATAAGACATGTTTGGTAAGGTTTCTGGTTTTCGTTTCTAATTTTTTTTTTACTTATTAAAATGTAGCACTAATCCATTGCTTTGATACGTGTGCTGAAAATTTGAAGTTATTTTATAGTGGGTTCTACATGATTGGGACGACGAAGAATGCATCAAAATATTGAAGAACTGTAAAGATGCGATTCCAAGAACAACGGGAAAGGTGATAATTGTAGATACAGTGATCAATGAAAAGGAAGAAAACAATCTATCAGATGTTGGATTGATGCTCGACATGGTGATGATGGCTCATACCAACAAGGGAAAGGAAAGAACATGTAAGGAATGGGCGTATGTACTTCATCAGGCTGGTTTTAGCCGATATACCATTACACCCATTCGAGCTGTCCAATCTATTATTCAAGGTTTCCTTTGATATATAGGAAATATATTTTGTATTCCAAGTCTTTATTTATAATAATAATAGTGGCTCTTTTTATACACAAAATTTGAAAATTTTAGAGAGAAATAGTTTCGTTGGAGGCAAAAATATGACATACCACGTGGTGAAATATGGCCAAGCTACCGCAGATCAGCTCATAAGCTCTCATACATCCGAGTTCGTAAGCTTACCTATGGTCAAGCTCTGATGGGAGCTCATCGTTGGTGTCGAGATGAGCGCTATTCTAATGAAAGTTCATCGTTGATGTCGAGATGAACTACTTTTATGAGAGTTCATTTGTTGACGTAGAGGTGAGCTATCTTATAGCTCTTCCATAATGAGATGATCTACTCCGATGGGAGCTCCTTGTTGGGGTTGAGGTGAGCCCTCTCTTCGCAAGCTATAGTCTTAGGATCTGTTTACTATCTAGCCTTAGGATATACATTCACCTTAATGGTACGTTGCTTGAGTTGGGACTTTGAGAAGCTCGATTAAAGAGTCGATACTTAAGTTATGCACTTGAGAGTTTGTGCATGGAGCTTGGATTTTGACTTAAGCTGGACGCTGAGTTTGAGCTTGGAACTTGGATGAGCTTGAGTGTCAAAGTGTTTACTTTCTTTTTGCAGGGCATGAGCTCGCACCTCATCAGCTCCGACCAGTTGCCACATGGCCGACCTCGGTAGCTCGGCAGAATTTTGCATCAACAAGTTTGAACAACTAGTTTTTAATATAATTTTCATATTTAATCCAAAATTAAAGTATTTAAAACCACTAGTTAAAATACAATGATATTGAAGATTTCATATGCATTAGTATTATGAAGTATACAGATTTGTATTTCATRTCTTTTCGAATATGTTTTTAGCAGCAGATTTAGAAATGTGATCCGGTCCATTTGAAAAAAAAATTCAATGTATATATTAGTTAATATATTTGTAAATTTAGTTAATCCAGATATTTTTGATTAATTTATAACATATATGTTATAAAATTTGTATAATTATTATTTTATAATATTATATAATTTATAATATATTATGTTTTAGATATTTTTATTTAAAAATAAATAAATAAGTTTATAACTCAAGATAGTATATTTATGAAAGTTTTTCTTTAATATTTTTTAACGTAATTATGATTTTTAAATTTTGAATTCAAAATTTAAAAAAAATATCACAAATATAAAATTCAAAATTTTTATGGTATTAGATTTAGGTATTTCAAAATAATTTTGAAAATTCTAAATACAAGTTTAAAATATTCTTAAGTTCTCTCTCGTTTATTGGGCGAAAGTTGGCTGATCTTTTCCCCTCCGTGAATGGTGTGCATTTTTTCTAGAAAATAAATTTAGAGGACATTCCTTTCTGTTTTGTTTTGATTCTTCTATATATATTTTTTACAAGAGGTAAGTTCATGGATTGAGATATTATGGACCTCTCTTGCTGTTTTGGAAGAGATTTTCTGGGAAGATCTTTTTCTTTGGTGGTTTTTATAAAAGTTAATTATTCGAATTTTTAATATAACTGCTCCATAAGAGAATTTTAACCATTCTAAAATCGTCTCAATTTTTTTTAGTAAACAAACTGGAGCTTAAATTTTTTTATTATTTTTTGTTTTTAGTCTATTTTTGGTACGTGCACTTCAAAACGTCTATTTTGATCTATGTATATTATTTTTGCTAATTTCTATTAATATTTTCAAAATGTTGATTTTTTTCTTTATATTTTTAATAAGTTAGTATTCTTACCACAATTTGCTAAACCATAATACGAAATGTCATAGTCAACAAAAATCATTCAATACAAAGTAAATGTAGCAAAATGAAAAAAAAAATGAAAATGAGTTTAAGAAAAGTAATCAAATGATCAAAATGGACAAAAATTAAAAGTAAAAGTGTTGTTGAGGGGGAAGCCATGAAACGACATGCCACATAAGGTGGCATCGAAACTCCAAAATTTGCAAAGCAGATGGAAAGAATGCACCGGACCAGCACCAAGCGCTGCGAAAAGGGAGAGTTGAGTGCATCAGAAGAGGAAGGCCGAGTGCACCATACGGACGTCCCCAATACAGTTAAAGGTGCCAACAAACTCACCCAACGGGCATCTGGCACGGTGTCAGAAGAGTACTCTAGGCACCGCACAGGAATAGGACACGGAATGTCAAGAGAGGTCCGAACACCCTCGATTTGTTATCCATCATGCTCTACCTCTCTCATCCACTCTCCATATGTAAGGAAAAGAGGAATCCTAGATTTTTCTTACACACAACTCTTTATGAGAATAATTCGACACACAATTGGGAGTAGACTCTCACTCTCGAAATTCCCTTCTACTCTATTTGCTTCATACCTATTTCCTCTCCATTTGAATTTTAATTTGAGTATCAAAGTGCATTCGACATAGTACTACATTAGTACTAATTTTCCTGGAGGTGTTAAGAGTTTGGACACTTACGTGACACCCATGAAGTGAAATTGCATTAACAAGTACAAAGTTGAAAAATAATAAGGAACAAAATGAAAAGAAATAAATAAAAAAAAACACATCACAAAACAAATAATTGAGATTTCATTAAGATTCTCCACTTCTTATTGTCTAGAAAAGACAAAAGAAAAAGGAAGGTTACAAAATAATTAATTTCAATCCAGCAATGATGACCTTCTACAAGGTCTAATTTTTAAACCGAAGTTTCCCACCATAGATGGCCAATTTTATTTAATTATAAAGCTCAATGATTCTTTTTCTCGTATGTTTAATAATGTAAAAGAAACGGTTCAACTAATTTACTACGGTCGGATGCTATGTTGTGGGGTTACAAAATAATTGAAAATCACTTTTTTTTCATGTTAAATTACAAAGTGTAGAGATCGAATCAACAATCTCTTGATTGAAAATATAAATCAATTACCGCTGAGTTATATTTATTTTTATCTATTAATGACAATATATCCTATCTAAATATCTCTACCATCTGATATTGGTTCGCTTTGATCATAAATCTTTACTTTTGGTTTCACCCAATCTATCGACCTTTCTCGAATCTATGTGAGATTTTGTAATACCAACATATTTTATGTGAGATGTTGATTATTTAAAATTATGGCAAAAATAAATAAATTTTTAAAGAAAATTTTAAAAATGAGTGATTTCTTGGTTTTTGATTTTCTAATTTTAAAAATTAAGTTGGGAAACACTATGTTTCTTTGTCCAGCTATATACTCTTTAAAAATGTTGTCAAAATCTAAGCAGAATTTTAAAAACCTAAAAGAATATAGTTTCTGACAAATTATTTTTTATCTTTAAATGTAACAACGAATTAATACATGATGTAAAAAACATATCTAAGAAAGAATATAAATCCAGTATAATTTTTAAAAATAGAATAATTAACGAATGGATTTAAACGAATTTAATTATGATAATATTATTTGGACGCGCCTTTTATCAAATACTAGTAAGAAAATAAGACAAGGATTGAATAGAATATAGAGTAGGTAACGTTATTTTTTTTAAGAAAAACAAAATATGACATCAAACTTCTAGCTCAATTGGGTTTAAAAAAAGACTGTAAAAAAACATTTAGTAAAATTAGTAAAAATAGTAACTATGTTTATTTACTTTTATGATGGCATAGTTCTCACGGCTTTGCTTTTGGTTTCACCCAAAAAATCTCAGTCCAATGAAGATAATTGTCCTCTTTTATATACCCATGATCATTCCCTTTCATATCGAATGTGGAACTTTGTTTGCAATCACCTTACAAACCCAACACGACTCCGACGAGTGGTGGCTTGATCTGTCGAACGCGACCTAAGTCATATTGTTGCTTATGAAGACATTGAAAACGGTCTTCTTCTCGTTGGCGACAACCCAAATCACAAAAAATAATAATAATGAAAATAAGAATTCTGTTGAGAGTGACAGAGGAGGGAGAAGCGTGGAGAAGAGGGAAATGAAGGAAAAAACAACAAATAAGTTAAACAAATAATATATATATAATAAAATATAAAACTCACTGACGCCATGTCAGCAATCTGTTACCACAGTTGTTTTGATTTTAGGGATATTTTAGTCTGCGTTAAATTTTCACTTTTTGAAATTTAGTAACCAAATAAAAACCTAGCTTCAAACTCATTGATTAAAAATGTATTTTACCTAGCTTTTTCAAATATAGTACTTTAAAAAAAATGGAGACTCAATTTTAAAATGACAACTTTACTCAAATGATATACCTCTGTAATATATGTGTGTGATATACATATGATATACTACTGATATGAGTGTCTCATATACCTACAATATGTATATGATATACAACTGATATRGGATGTGCATATAATATACTATAATACTGATATAAGTAAAAAATTTTACTAGATTTAAAAATTTTTAAATAGGTGACACATTTTGAAATAAATAAAAGATTTTTACTGCAAACCGCAATTTCACTAAAAACCATATTAATTTTGAAGACCAAAAACTTATATATATAAAATTCTTTTTAGGGACAACACATTATGCTAAATATTGAAAGTTAGTTTTTTTTTTATTTTTTCCCCTTTTTTTTTGCATCAACATCTTCTTCTTCTTCTTTTTTTTTTTTCCTTTTTTGTTCGTTTTTGAGAAAAGAATATTCTAATCAAATGAGTACAAGTACAGCTAATTCCAACTCATGTAATGAGTTATTTTGTACTGCTAAAATAATTATGCTGAAATTACAATTTACAAGCTTTCTATGGAGAAATTTCCTACGATTGAGTTGTTTCATCACTCTATTCAACCAATTAACGAAGTTTGGAGGAAGAAATGTGTATAAATACTGATCATTGTTAGCTTTTTAGATTATAATCTAAACCAATTATTCAATTTTAATGAGAACTTACTAAAATTTTCCACCTTTCAAACTCTGCTAGTTTCTCAATATTTCTTGGTTCCTCAAATTTAAATTAACTCTACTTGTTTTATTACTTTTATTTCATTTTCATATTTACCAACTTGTTATATGTATTAACTTACCTTACTTTTATTTATGTTTTAAAAAACAATGAAAACATGGAATTTCATTAAAAGTTGTTTGGCGAGAATTTTTTTAAATATGTTGATATATTTTAATTAGTTAATATATAGGGATATATTCTTATTTATTTATTTAGATGGATATATTATAATTATACATAAAGATTCGAACTATCAACTTAGCATTAAATCAGATTTAAATTGTAATGGCTTTGAAGTTTTTCAGTATAACTTTAAATTTTTTAAAATATGTTGGTATATTTTAATTAGTTAATATATAAGTATATATTCTTATTTATTTATTCATATTTTGTTTATTTAGATGGATATATTATAATTATACCTAAAGATTCATACCGAAAAGATTTTTCTGTGATTAACTATTAAATCATATTTAAATTGTAGTGTATGACATGAATTTATATAGATATTTAGATGAATATATTACAATATAGGGTAAAGATTCGAATTTTAGACTTAGAATAATTTTTTAAAGTTGTGAATCCACGTCAAACATGAATTCATGTAATATCTATTAAATATTTGTCTTCTTTCAATTATTTTATTTAGGTTAAAAAACAAATTTTGATCCTGAAAGTAACGATAAACTTTAGTTTGTCGCAATTTAGTCCTTATAATTTCACTAGAATAATGATTTCGTCACTAAACTTTAGTTCGTAACATATTATTGTACATTAAAACCAAAAGTATTTTTTAACCTTCTATATATCAATAGACTTTTGTATATTTTATGTAGCAAGACTATATTTAGTCTATAATTATTATTTTTATAGTGATATTCTATTTAATGTACAATATTATATTATGAATTCATTCTATTTTTTATAAAAATAAAAATATTATATTATATTATAAATTGTATAAGATTTTACTTTGTAACCTATTTTTAGTTTTTGTTACCTATTTTATCATTGATTGAACCAAACATAGTTTCAATAAATTCTTAATTTTATTTCTAATTTTTCAATCTACTACCAAACATATGTGAATATGTGAATAGATAGAATACCACTCTTATTTTCATTGAATCCATTATTTCAAGAATCATGCTTTCATATCACCGATCAAAAGCACCATTCACTAAACTAGTCAATAATAACATTTTTAGATATTGGATTTGAATAAAACTATCTCTCAATAAGTACTCATGTCACTATTCAATTTTTTACAGCACATCATTTTTTAAAAAATATATTCTATTTTCATATTTTTCTCTTATTTATCAAAATTTTAACATCGATTAGCACAAAATAAATGCTTACGAGTAAATATCTAATTATTTTCTTTAATTAATAAAAAAATTTAGTCGGTTTAACCTTTTCTTTTTGGATTCAAATTTCTAATCTTAAATTATACATTTCCTCAAAACAATGTTAAATAAAGCTTGGTGCCATCTTTGATAGTACTAAAATATTATCATCTATATCAAACCACTGTCTCCAATAATGGCAATGAGCAATTTTCCCTTTCCTATATAATTAAGAACTTGCAAGAACAACAAAGATAATCACTGAAGCTAGTTAGATCTCATAGTTATATCGTGATGGAAATTTCTTGTTCCAAAAAGGAACAAGAAGATCATAGCGAAGCTCGAACCCAAGTATGGAAATACATATTTGGTTTTGTCGAAATGGCGGTAATAAAATGTGCAATCGAGCTCAAGATCGACGACGCCATTGAAAGTCATGGAAGCCCCATAACACTTCCACAGCTATCATCAGCTCTAAAATGCTCTCCACCAAGCTTACACCGCGTGTTGCGGTTCCTCGTTCACCGAGGCATTTTCAAAGAAGAAGAAACTGCAATCGAAGGCGTGAAAGGCTACACTCAAACGCCAATGTCTAGGCTGCTCACTAGCAGCAGCAAAAGCAGCATGGCTCCTCTGCTGCTGCTAGAGAGCAACCCGGTAATGCTCGCGCCATGGCATAAGCTAAGTGCATTTCTGAAGGACGACGACACTCCGCCATTCGAGGCTGCCCACGGGAGGGATTTGTGGAGCTATGCTGCAGCGGATCCGTCGTTCACCATGCTGCTCAATGAGGCCATGGCTTGTTTTGCGAGGCTGGTGATTGTGCCTGCAGTGATTGAAAGGTGTGGGGAGATTTTTGAAGGGGTTGGATCCTTGGTGGACGTGGGGGGAGGAAATGGGACTTGTTTGAGCATCTTGGTTAAGGCTTTTCCTTGGATTAGAGGCATTAATTTTGACCTTCCACATGTCGTGTTGGTCTCACCAAACTATGAGGGCGTCAAACATGTTGGTGGCAACATGTTTGATTGTGTCCCTAAGGCTGATGCTGCTTTCATCATGGTAAATTTAGAACTCGTTTATAACGTCTTTATTACAAAAATAAATTAGAATGGTATGTTCGATAATTGTTTTTTTGTTTCTTATTATTTTAGCATAAATATTTGTTTTGTAACTTTTTTTTTTGTTTTGCTTCGTGTTCTCTAAAATTTTAAATTCGAAAAAGAAAAAGTTGTATATAAAAGTTAAAATTTTAAATTAAATATTCAAAAGTTTTATGTTATTATTTAATTTTTTATATTTATTATGCATTTTATAAATAAAAAATGATAAAATAATACTTTTTGGAAAATACTTAGTTCTAACTGGTGATGCCCTATCTTTTATCACAACCATTAAATGTTTGACAATATTGGTAAAAATAAAGAATTTTTCTAAAAAATGATGAGTTGTCAAACTTTCAACCTTAAATACTTTTCATGCTTTTATTTATGTTTTTGGTGAAAAACTTGAACAAAAACTTGATTTTGTTGTTTCTAAAATTTATACACAATTTTGAAAACGTTTCTTAAAAGCGAGAAACGATCAAGAAACATGAACCGCTTACCAAACGCGCACTTATGTTTTTCAAAAATTGAAAATGAAAACAAGAAACAGTAACATTACCACTTTTAGGATTAAAAACTAAAAATCTAGTTCATGGTGTTATTTAATTTTACTGTTATTTTCTATCATTCTGCCCTCATTGATGTTAATATCTCGTTCATATACATATATATATATATGCTTCCAATAATGTACAATATAAATGACTTTAAGGTGTTATGCAGGAGGTTTTACATGATTGGGACGATGAAGAATGCATCAAACTTTTGAAAAACTGCAAAGAAGCAATTCCAAAAAAGACTGGAAAAGTTATAATCGTTGAAATCGTGATCGATGAAAAGGAACAAAATAAATTGTTAGACGTAAGGTTGATGATGGATATGATAATGATGGCGCATACCAATAAAGGCAAGGAAAGAACACGTGAGGAATGGGCCTATGTTCTTCAAAAGGCTGGTTTTAGTCGATATATCATCACTCCCACTTCAACCATCCAATCTGTTATTCAAGCTTTTCCTTAATATATCTATCAAAGAAAATGAGTATCTTCTCTTTTTAATTTGTTGTGAAAATAAAAAGTTTATGAGTTTGAATTTAAAGAGTGGTTTGTCCTATTTACTAAGTTGTGTTAGATATTCCATTCTTTGTGCTCTTCATATCTAATAGATACCTTATATTTTAAAACTTACTCAAAATAATACGATTGGTAAATTTCACACATACTAGCTATATATGATTTATAAACGTATATCCTTTCGAAAAGGCGCTCTCTCTCTCCTTCTACTCTCTCCCTGGGTGATGGAACAAATCTAAGAAGGTGCACGACGATCCAAAACCCTACGACAGTCGACATTAGTGGTGACGATTCACGGTGTAGGAAGACCCAAAAATCCATGGAATCCCATGGCGGCAATGGCGACGGCTAAAAGAATTTAAATCAGAATATATAGTGTGAAAATTCACTTTCTTTGCTTGCGAATTGCTATATATTACTGTACATGAAGGACACCAGAAAAAATAAAGCAATAAGCTAACAGTAACAGCTAGTGAAACATAGCAATAATTTTGGTTTGCTATAGAAAGGTAAGCACTCTTCTCATATTCTCATTACTAACTACCATAATTAAGGCAAGTATTCAACGACAATATTCTGCTGTTTAGTAAAGGTGTTTAATGTTGCAGCTCACTACCTTGCTTTCACAATCTTTATGGAATTTTTTTTTTTAATAACATCGGGGTTGGGGATTAAACTCACAGCCACCTTTTGGCTGAAGATATATGTCAATTATCGTTGAGCTATCATCTTCTCTCTCGATAAACCAACAGTGGCTCAGAAGTTTTTTTTTTTTCATCTCATTGTCCCCAAGTATCTTCTTTGACATAGCTCTCACGATTTTGATTTTGATTTCACCTAGAAGTATGTCCTTCTATAGATCACTCCTTCCTACTTTGTTTGCATTTTGTATAAACCCAACATAAATCTCTTTTTCACTCTTTCTCTTGTTTGGCTTAATGAGAAAATGAAAAATTAAAAAATAAAAATAAAAATTTGTCCGAATCAAAACAAACTCATCTCTCTTGAAATTTTCATCTCTCTCTCTCTCCTGTTTAGCCTAACGAAAAACGGGTAATTTCTTTTGCTTATGAGGTTGAAGGGTGTTGAAAGCGAAAATCCTAGACCAAGGATAAAAAAAATAAAAAAAATAAAAAAGAAAACCCTAGATTGGATTTTTTTTTTTTGTTAATGAAACCTGACCCAAAACGAAAATCGAATACTTTCGGGTCATGTTGGTTTCATCTGGAAATCGACTGGAACCGACTGAATTACACTCCTAATTATGACGAATATGCATGTGTATTCATTTATTGCTTCTTTTGACTCCACTTATATACATCACTATTTAATAATTATTTAATAATTGGATACTTTCTTCCTAATTTAAAATTTATTTTAGTCCAAAACATTGCTTTTATTCCATTTTAAATTTTAAAGTGCCTATTTTAATCTTAAAATTAATATATATATATATATATATATTAGTCATTATTGTTATTTTATCCTTAATTATTTAATAAACTGATGGCCATACATTTGTATTTAACTGATTAACAAACTTAGTGAGTAGTAGGCCGGGCTCCTTTTTGGCTAATCAATCTTTGTCAGACTTTTTTTTTTTATTATTTTCTTGTTACACTCTAATACCATTTTAATATTTATTATTAAAAGTTCCATCTTAAAACAAATTAACAGTGATAGAAGTAACTCATGTAATGATAAACTTTAATTTGTTTTTATGTGGATGCTGTTACGAAGTGCAAGCCAATAGGCCAACAACAACTCCATAATCTTTCTCATTATGTTATTAGAGGATCTGCCCTGAGAGGTAAGAATAGATAAATAAAGAAAAATGAAAAGGTGCAATCCAACCGAATAAATGCAATTCATATCATAATGAATTCTTTCTCTGTTGTCATTCTGAAAGGTGGAAGCTAAGATGAAAAAAAGAATCGACCGTTAAGTATTAAAAGTCGCACTAGAAAAATAATAGAAAGAGGGGCAAATATATATGTCTATATAGATAGATATATTGAATTATATTGAATTGCAGATACATAAATGATAGAATCATTTTAGATCAGACCAAATACGGGTCTAAGATAGAGATGAAAAAAGCTAGACAAGAAATAAAATAGGAGGAAACACTTTTCAATAGAGGAATCGGTATTCTAATGAATTCAGTGGTAAATCTAGGTTGATATGGTTAATATTTGTGTAACTAATATAATACCAAATCTCCCACTAGTTTTATTTTCTAAATTTAGTTCTCTCACCCCTCTATTTAAAGGTGTCTCTATTTAAATGTGAGAACTTACGGTGTTTTCACACAGAAATTAAATCAAAAACTACTTCTTGAGTTATTTCATTTTTATGTTAATTGTTTTCTTAGGATCTCACGTTGAAAAGAAAATGAACCTTATAATGCTTTATAATATAGACATTGACTACTTCTCCCCTTGCCAATTGGTTTTGAGATGAACCACATSAATATTAATGTGATATTAAAGTCCGTCTTATTGCCAAAGGCTTCCACCAACATCCTAGTGTTGACTATTTTGAAACGTTCAGCCCAGCACCCTCAACATTACTATTCATTCTAGTTCCTACAGCTTCTCAATTATATTTCATATATGTAGTGAGTTTGAATTGACCCGATTAGCTAGAAGGTTCATTTCGCTATTGTGCTAAGTTTAACCAACCGTCTGACATAAAATTAGTGAAATCTGAGCGTAGCTATGTCATGTGAAGTGAAGAGCCTCTACCTCCTTTCTTAGACACCTACTTTTATTATTCCTCAGAGCACAAGAATCAGGATAAACTCGCCAGTTGTATAACTATAGTACAGAGTTTTGGGGGAATAATTATATCGCCCTTCCCCATGGACCGAGAAAACGGGAAGGAACATTATTCCACGTTTGATCTTCCACATGTTGTGGCGGCTTCCGTTGAATACAAAGATTTGCAGCTGCAACATGTCGGTGGCAATATGTTCGATTTTGTCCCAAAGCTAGGCTGATGCTACTTTTCCCAAGGTTAGTATAGCATATATGTGTGTATTTTTTAGCTACAGTTAATACTTTGGTCCTATGTCAAACATTATATGAGAAAGGGAACGTAGGGGTGTTCATGGGCGGGGACGGGGAGCCTTCTCCAACCCATCTCTGTCCCACTGTCCTCTATTTCAATCTTCATTATCATGAAATTTACTACTATATTTTGTTACTATATTTTGTGGCTATCGAGTTTTTTGTATCTTTCAAGTTGCGCTTCCCATTTAGGTGACAGGAATATAATGTCCTCCATCTCTGTCTGGATGCCTAAATAGAGATTCTCCGTCCCATTTTAGGTGGGATGACAAGAAATTAAATAAACACCTTACAATGTGTATTTGAAAACTTATATATAATTATGCTCTATTCCCACTCTCTTCTGTTTTTTTTTTTTAATATATTGCATGAAAAAAAATAGTTAATATATACATTCCAACATCTATAAAAGTAGAGTTCTATTTTCTTTGTAATAAAAAATAATTTTCAAATGTTGACGATTTATTTCGTAGGATGATATTTAATTTATAATGGAACTCAATCTTTAACCCAATTAATTGAAAAGAAAAAATAAAGGATAATACTTGACTCCTTAATTCATGTAGGGTGGGGATAATCCAATTCGCAATCTTTGGTCGGAGATATATATGTGATTATCCATCGGTTCCAATCAATTTTTATTAATAATAAAAAAACAATTTTTAAAATATCTATGAAACAGTTCTTTAAAATATATATATATATTTCCATAAGCAATTCGTTGCAATAATATATTATACAAAATTAATTACTTTTGAGGTTAAATAACAGTGGGTTCTACGTGATTGGAACGACAAATAACGAAACAAGCCATTCCAAAAGACAGTGGAAAGTTGAGAATCGTAGAAGCAATAATTGATGAAAAAGAAGAAAATCAATTGTAAGATGTAGCTTTAATGTTCAACACAGCGATGATGATCCACACCAATAAAAGGAAAGGATAGAACACAAGAGGAGTGGGCTCATGTTACCAATACAGCTGCCTTTAGTCATTACACCATCACATCAATTCACACAGTCCAATATATTGTTCAATGAAGAGAATGTATAATAGAATAATGAAAGGTAGTAAAAGAAGAGAGAAATTAATTATAGAACCCACTCAAATTTAAAATTAAAAAGAGGGCGGAACCCACCAAATTTATGGAACAAGAAATAAATTGTGGACCCAACAAATTGAAGAGTGGATTTAAATTTTAAATCTTAGAGTTCTTAAATCTTTTGTTTGAACCAACAGCGATCTTCTTAAATCTATTCCTATTCGACTCTCCGCTTTCTTTAAATCTTGATTACATATACCTATTGACAATTATTTACAATGGTCTAAATTTGGAGTATATCATCTCTTTTTAGTATAACAAATTATAAGTATGGAGGTTTGGACCTCCAACTTAAAAGAAAGAAATATATAGATGTCAATTATCGTTGAGCTATATTCATATTATCCATTATTCATGTCTTTAAAAATTGTATATTCAAATTCGTTACCCTTGTTTGCAATAAAAAATAATTAATGTTGATGCGTGGATTTTGACCCTGCAGTTCTCCTCATAACTTGATAATAAAGGAACTGGTACCTGCAAAACCAAATCGATCTAAACCGATGTGACCTCAGTGACACGGGCTCCGATGCTTAAGTTAGTGAGCGAGAGTTGAGAAAATAGTGAGCTAGAGATAAGTCACTTACCTCTTTAGGGTTGGATCTCACTACTACTTATAACCGTGAAAATGATTCCAAAACCTTCCGTAGCCAAACCCTAATTCAGCATTGCAGGGTCTGAGGGGAATGGTTGATCGCAGATGAGAGATTCACGGGCTGGGCCGTGGGCCGAGCTCGGCCCGATTGATTCTCCACCGATCACTTTCCTCGTTCTCTGCCTCGGCGCTAGGTCGTCCTTTGGGCCGGCCAGTTACGTCGCGGGCCGGTCTCCCCCAATCGATGATCTCGGACTTCAACTCCTTGTCTGTTTTGGGTCGTTTTTGTTCTCTATAACAATTCACTTGGGTGTGATAATTCATATCTGACTTTATGGTTTCATAAAGATATTGGGTTAGTTGTATTTAATTTCCATTAATAAGTTAAGAGAAGTTAAGAGATTAAAATTTATTATTTGGTAAAATTGATTTGAGATAATAAATCTGATTTATTCTTGACTTGACTTATTGAACTCCTTCAACAAAGGGACATATAGGTTAGGATAAACCTCTGTAATTAAATTCCCTCTACTCTCTTAATTAGCTAATTAATTTGTAATTATTTTTTTAATTATTTATTGGTAGTAATAATTTTAACTCTTAGTGAGTTTTCCATCACTTTTAAGAAAAGTACTTTTTCGAGATATAAACACTTCTAAGAAATGCTAATCAAGTGCTTTTCCTAAAAAAAATATTTTAAGCATTTTGATATATTTTTAGAATTTGTAAACTAATTTTGTATTATCTAAGCTGATGCCCCAAGATTTTAAAGTGCTTTTAAATTACCTAAATTATTAGATATCCAATATAGAATTAAATTTATCCAATTTAAGCTGATTTATTCATCCTTAACATGTATCAAAGTGGGAGGTCCTGTGTTGTTCGAACCTTTCCATTTATTATGATTTCTACTCGTACCCAACCCATCACTTTAAACGCGGTGGTTTATTCATCCTTAACACAAACCATTTTTTATTAATCTTATCATTAAAATAAAAAAAAAACCTCTGTTTTTGCATTTCTTTCCATCTTAGTTATCAAACATTTAAGAGGGTAATGATAAGATTGGCGATCCTTACCGAAGTATTTTCCTCTCTCTTTTATTGTTTAAAGAATTATTTGGGTATTGAATTGAACATTCATAACTATTATTAATGTCAGAAAATAATTGAGTGATTGATGAGTAAAATTAATTAGATAGTGATAATAAACTTTGCTACTATTTGATATATATATATATATTCACATAATTAAGAACTTGCAAGATACATAATATCACAATGGAAAGTAGTCACAAAGAATCAAAACTGAAGAAGGAAGAAGGAGATAGTGAAGCCACCATCCAAATATGGAAACACATATTTGGTTTCTCTGAAATCGCGGTTGTAAAATGCGCCATTGAGCTTAAAATTGGCGACGCTATTGAATGCTACGGAAGCCCCATGACACTGTCACAGTTATCATCAGCCTTAAACTGCTCTTCACCGCTCCTATATCGCATCTTGAGATTCCTCATAAGGCGTGGAATTTTCAGAGAAGAAACAACGCCTGAAAATCTCACAGCCTATGCTCAAACGCCTTTGTCTCGGCTGCTCACCACCAGCGGCGAGAGCAGCATGGCGCCCTTGTTTCTGCTAGAGAATGGCCCTGTAATGCTGGCGCCATGGCACAACTTATCTGCAAACATCAAGAATAATAGTGAATGGTTGCCATTTGAGGCTGCTCATGGCAACGACTTGTGGAGCTATGCTGCGGCTAATCCAACATTCAATGCATTGTTTAATGAGGCCATTGCTTGTTTTGGCAGGGTGATTACTGTGCCTGCGATACTTGAAAGTTGTGGAGAGGTTTTTGAAGGAGTTGGATGTTTGGTGGATGTGGGAGGAGGAAATGGAACTAGCTTGAGCATGATTGTGAAGGCTTGCCCATGGATTCGTGGTCTCAACTTTGATCTTCCACATGTTGTGTCAACTTCACCGGAATACGAGAATGTGCGGCATGTAGGTGGCAACATGTTCGACTATGTCCCGAAGGCTGATGCTGCTTTTTTCATGGTTCGTATGTTATTTCGATCAAAATTTAGGCATTGTTTACAGCGGCTGTAAATTTGTGTCAAAGGTTTTTATTGTATACGAAATTTATGTTAAATTTTGTCAAATAGAGACTAAAGTGGTCGTCTTTTTAAACATATGAGGACAAAAAAAAATACAGTAGGGACTAAAAATGAACAAAAGTTTAAACATTTTGAAAATATATGTATTAAAATGAAGCAAGTATCGGAAGTACAAGAATCAAAAGAGTATTTAAACCTAGTTATATGGTATATTCTAGAGCATGTGGGTGGGGTAAAATTAATAGATGATTTTTTAACTTGTTACTCCCAATTATATGTCAAACTTTAGATGAAAAGTGATATATACACATTTGAATCCCTTCAACATGTTAATTTTATTCCTTGTTTTCTACTTAAAATGAATGAACATGTATGAGCATGTATTTTGGTCTCTCAAATGATTATATTTACATGTGCATTCGATCTCTTATCTTTTTAATGTGGTATCCTTAACATGTCATCTCAAGATTGTGGCTCTTTTGGCTTATTGATCTTCGTCGGATCCGATTTTTTGATCGGATGGTCGTTTGAGCATTTTGAGCTCTAATACCATGTCAATATTATATTCATAGATTTTATCTCAAAATCAATTGAAAGTGAGAATGAGTAGCTCATGTCTATTATAAATCTTTGTTAAGTCTCTTATTTTTCTCAATATGAGATATCCTTAACACATGTACTTCCAGCAATCATAGAACAAAATTAACGGACTTTCGACATTATTACAATTGTAGTGGATTCTACATTGCTGGGATGATGAAGAATGCATCAAAATTTTGAAAAATTGCAAGGAAGCCATCCCAAAAAGTAGAGGAAAAGTGATAATCGTAGAAATAGTGATTGATGAAAAGGAAAAAAGTAAGACGTCAGATATGAGGCTCATGCTAGACATGGCGATGATGGCTCGTTTCAAGAAGGGCAAGGAAAGAACAGCTGACGAATGGGCCTATTTACTTAACGAGGCTGGTTTTAGTCGACACACCATTACTCCCATTGGAGGCCTTCCATCTCTTATTCAAGCTTTTATATGATACTATAACAAAATGGGATTGAGACTTCGACTCCTTAACGGTACGGAGGAATCTTATCCTCACCTAACAACTAAAAAAGAAAAATACAAAAATAAACCTTTTATTTTTAAATAGAATGAATTGTCAATTTTTCAATAGCAATGAGACAAAATTTCATCCTCGCCGTTAAAAGAGTAGGATATTATCCATAATTACTGCTTCTTTTGTTTATATCCATCACTCTTCGTTAGAAAGAGTTTGCAAAATTCTAAAATAAAGGTCTCTTCCATTATATACTATTATAATAAAAGTTGTGTTGGTTGTCCATTTTAATTAACTATTCTTATTTATGACCATCTTTCTAAAAACTTTTCTTTTGTGCCATTTGATTTTTTTTCTTTTTTTTGATAAATTGTAAAATGCAAAACAATTCATTTAGAGTAAAACGAATCTTTTTTAATACAATATGTGAAGGTGGAGAATCAAACTCACACCCTTTGATTGGAGATATATGTCAATTACCGCTGACGTAGGCTTTACTTTCAACGAATAAATCGAATTAAATTTTAAAGGTTAAAAATATATATTTTCGCAAAAAAAATTGTTATGTTTTCAAAATTTAATAGAAACTTTTTAGCCAATATTGATGAGGCACACCCATAAGTAAGGTACCTAATTGTCTTTCATGACAACCCAATTCAATTTTTTTTTTAATTACCACCCAAATTCAGTTAAATTTAATCTAATATATAGTAATATTACGACAATGATTCATTGATAATATTAAAACTAATTATACTATATATAAAAAAGTGAGTTGAAGAGAGACAAGTTAATTAAGAGACAACGAGGTTGGAGAGAGATATTAAAGACGATTTAGAGATAGAGACGATAGGTATATTAAAATCTAAAAAGAATCAGTTAAATATATAAATTAGAGAGACATATGTATGATTTTTTTAATAAGTTAGTGCAAAARAAAATGATTGAAAAATATAGATATTAAATAAAGAAATATAAACCTTAACTGATTAGGATGTTTAAAAGATAAGAACTTCAAATTCTTATCTCATATGCTGTAATAAAAAAGTATAAATTTATTAAATAAAGGAATATAAATTAGACATATATGTTAGAAAAAAAGATAGGTTAGAGATGTACTGTACTTTTAAAAATATCACATGAAGTATCATGAAGAAGAAAAAATTAGAGATTTTAAAAAGAACAATGAAACCATTTGTTTTCTCAAAATCTATAATTTTATAAACGTTTTTAAAAATTTTAAAAAATGAAATTTAATGGGTTATCTATCAACTCTGCTTTATAAATCGAAAAATAATCAAACTTGTTTGTTTTATCTTAATTTCGGTTTAATAACTATTTTTATTTTTGGTCTTTGATTTTTTTAAATTAAACTCGTAAATGTTGGGTCCGTGAAAGGGTGTAAATAAAGTTGGTTAGAAGAGGGAGTGATCCATTATATTTAAGAGATGATAGTTATCTCCAAGTATGAAGTAGTGGTGAAACTAAAAGCAGAGTATTTTTGGGGATATTTGAGATATCTTTGTGGTTAACAAATGGTATTGGTTAATACTCGAGTGCTATGAGGTTATTCCACCCTACATGTTGGGCTAAAAAAATCAATTATTTTTTATTTTTATTTATTATTTGACTTATATCCCTATTTAAGAGAAAAAGTAAGGTTGTAAATCTCATTTTGGGTTTTAGCCCTTAAATTTAAAGTCTCGGCATAAAAGATAAAAATAAAAATTCTGATTTTAATCTTGTTGTTAGTTTTCTATCAATAGTTCATCTGAAACTTAATATATATATATATATATATATATCATGTTTTTTTTTTCTTTTGTGGTATGTACATAAATACCATCAAATAAATATATTTTTCAAATATATTAGAAAGTTTAAAATTTTACAGAAGTAACGTCATTAAAATTAACATCAAACTCATACGTAAACGTAAAGAAGAATCAAACTTTTGCAATATTTGACAAAAAAGAAATATATTTTGAAAAGTTGTAACATTTTTTTAAACCATATTAAATGTTATGGAATGATATTTCTCTCTCTTTTTTCATTCATTTATATGTATATTTAGTATAACATGACTAACAATATATTGGTTTGAGATATATGTCAACTAGCACTAAGTTATATTCGTTTTGGCCATTCATTTATATATTGGATACATATCTACTTGGACAACAATTTATAACTACAATATAATTCAACTAGATAAAGCATTAGTAATCTTTTTAAAAGTTGGAGATTCAAATTCTAATTTTTTTAACTCAAAATATTATTTAAAATTATGATTTTAATGGTTTCATTCAGAACTTTAATTGAATTAATTTCAATAAATAACTTTAATTGAATTAAGGGATTCAAATTTATTATTTGGTAAAATTGATTTGTGATAATAAATTTTTATTTACTCTTGAATTTAATTTTTTAACTTCTTCGAGAAAGGAACATGCATGTAGGTTAAGTTTAGAAAAATCTAAGTATATATGCAATGTCATATCTCCTCTCTTTAGCTAATTAATTTTCTCATTAATTTTTTGTGTTTATTTATTGTTAATAATAATTTCGCATTTTTTTTGTGTGTTTGAGATGGCTTTTTGAGAAAAGTATTTTATAAATACTATTAGAGATCGTTTGGTTCAAGTTTCAAAAAATATTCATGGATAATAGACTCATGGAAATCAAATGTAACTGTGTTTGATTGTGCATAGGAATGTTATTTAATTTTGATGAGAATAAATTATGTCTGCGTGTTTAGTGTTGCATGAAAATGTTGTCAAATTGCATATAAATAAATTATATTTGTGTTTGGTTAGTGCRATTACTTTCAATAATTTTATGCAATTATAAATTTTTTTTAGTACAACATGTTGGGGAGGGGATTCGAACTTCACAACCTCTTGGTTGGAAGTATATGTCAATTACCGCTGAACTATGCTCGCTTTGGCTACATTAACACATCCTTAAATCACGTCTGACGAAATAGTAATGGCTTCGAAAGTTAGAAAACTAAAATATACAAGCAATCTATACTATATATAAATGGACTACGAAGGAGAATTTTTACCTTCCATTTTTGCCCTTTACTTTTAAATGCATACCTATTTTGCCCTTCAAATTTCTACAAGAAACACAACTGTTTGGGTTAAAGTGTCTGTTGAGAGAATTAATTCAAAATAGTTGTGACCATTCGATGAAACTAAGTGGTTAGTCCAAAAGAGTTGTGATGTTCGAGTGAAAATGTATGTTGAGAGAAGTTAATTCAATGAGGAGTGCAGCTCTAATTTTATGAAATAATGCATCAATCTATGTATAGGTGTCATAACAAATCATCTATAAAATGAAAGATTATGTCTTTTTTCTTATTTGACCTAAAACTCATTTTCAAAATATTAATGAAGATTTTTGCTTTTCTCCATAAGTACAAACTGAACCATGTCAAAATAACATTTGAGAATTCAAAAACTTATTTAATCGATTAGGAATTAGAGTATAAAATTATATATTCGTGTTATCTTCAACTTTTAATTTTTTTTATGTAGATTACTTTTATATATTAATGATACATTCGCATTAATTATTTCATATTTATATTATATTCAATGTTTTCTATACATCTGGTTGTCCTATTTTTTAGTTGGAATACTATATTTTTTTATTGAAAATATCAATGAATAATAATAATATATTTTATTTGAAAACTAAATATTATTACAATTTATAATTTATGTTTAGTTGTTATTATATACGTTAGTAAAATTCGAGCAGGACACTTGTCTACTTTCCAACTGGAACGGGACCACGTACGACTTCTTTCCTCAACCCGACGTCGTCGAGGAGGACACACGTCTGGTTGGGATGGAACAATGGACCACTAGCAGTTATGCCCCGTACATAACCGTAGCAAGGGAGGGTGCGCGTTGTCAGTACAAAAGGGCGCATCCTACAGCTATAGGGGAGGAGTCCTTTAGTCACAGGAGGTGCTACCACCTTGCAGCTGTCGGAAGCATGTCCCAAGATGCTTTCCGGACGGCACGTTGCACCTATGCCACCTCTAACCGTCGTCCTTCCTGATCGCCCACCCGAGGCTATAAAAGGAAGGACGCTCATCCTCACTAAGTAAGTGAAAAACCTGTCACTCATACTTAAGTGTCTTATTCATATTCCTTTCCCGATGACTAACGTGATCGTCGGAGTGTTTTAGGCGGGACACCGCACCGACGTCGAGTAACTCCGGTCTCAAGTTCACCCATTCCCTGGTCGGACTGCCATGATGGAGCGATACGTGACCCGTGACCGAAATTCGCCACCAACAATATATATGTTAAATATTGTTAAAGAAATTATATTAAAATATTAAAAATCACGTGAATTGCACGCGATGTTAACTGGTTGGTTTGTATCGAAAAGAGGAGAGAGATAAGACACTCCATCAAAAAACCATATATATAGTAAATTAGTATTATATATATTTTTTCCAACCTAATATAATTTTAACCGTCACACTATTTAATTAACTGGCGATTAGATAAACTCAAGAACCATTTAAAACTATTAGCAAAACTGGTGATTAAATAAAATCAAGAGTCATTTAGAACGGTTTTCCAAATCTCATTGGCTAAAATATCTCTTTGATCAGAACTTTAGGTATTAAATAAACATTATACTCAAATCTCATGAACCGAGTGTATTTTATCCTAAAAATTGTTATTATTTTATATGGTTTTTGGAGATATTATTTATTAATTAATTTTTTTTTTTTGAAACAGAACAACAAAACAAATTAAACACAATCAGCGGCCAACAAAGCAGACAGCCACGTAGGGCAAAACTGGTTCCACGAAGACGAGAATCCCTCTTCGCAGGCTCTCCTTGCTATCCCATGAGCGACTCCATTAGCCTTCCTCGTCAGATGCTTAAATCCTTCAATTGGCAAGGATTCCACCTCTTTCCATATGTCTTCAACAATTAGAGAAACTCCGGTGAGCTCCATGGACGATTTATTGATGATGTTCACTACTTCCAGACAATCTGATTCCACCTCAATTTTGATTCCAGCTTCTAGGGTGAGGGATTGACTCAATGCTTTGAGACCTTCCAAGATTGCTAGGGCTTCCAAAGCTTTAATGGGACATTTCCTTTGTAGGTGGAAACACCCTGCCATGATGAAGCGCCCTTCGGAGTCACGAACAACTCACCCGAGACCGCCGGCATGCAACGAATCCATCCAAGTAGCATCAACATTTAGTTTCCACAGGAGCTGCGCCGGGGGGGTCCAGCCGATGGTCCTAGGGAGAATTTTATCCTTCATGTTCAGGTTCCCTCCAAGATTTGTTGTGAACTCATAAATTTTACTTTCGGTAAAAGCCCTAATCTTCTGAGAGCAAGGTTGCTCAATTGTGCTGTGAACAATTTGGTTTCTGTATGTCCAAATACTCCATAGAAGAACTAGCCCTGATTATTTATTAATTAATTGCTCGTGGACTTAGGTTGATTTGTGCAGTTAATGTGAGATGTGGGTTTTTATATACTAACTTAGCAAATAAGAAACATGAAATAGCTATCGAGACATATTTTTATTTCTATTTTTATTTAAAAAACATAAATGGTTACCAAACATATTTCTATTTCAAGTTCTAAATAAAGTTAGAAACAAAAAATAGAAATGTTATCAAACGACCCTAAATGAACTCAATAACTATTTAGAACTATTTTTCAATCGTTCATAGACTAAAGTATCTCTTTTAAAACTTTAGATACTAAATTTTAATTTTTTTAATACAATATATAGAGGTATTGATTCAAACTTACGACATTCTAATTATATACCTAAGTAGGTATTCTTAACTCAGGTCGACCTAAATTTAATTATTATTCCTATATAATTTATGGAGAGATTAAATTATTAACTGCTTGTGGACTTAAATTGGTTTATGGAATTAAAGTGAGATATAGGTTATATATATTTTCACATAAGAACTCAGCAAAGATATAGGAGGGTAGAGAAAATATCACGCAAATGGAAAATAGTCACAAAGAATCAAAACTGAAGAAGGAAGAAGGAGATAGTGAAGCCACCATCCAAATATGGAAACACATATTTGGTTTCTCTGAAATCGCGGTTGTAAAATGCGCCATTGAGCTTAAAATTGGCGACGCTATTGAATGCTACGGAAGCCCCATGACACTGTCACAATTATCATCAGCCTTAAACTGCTCTTCACCGCTCCTATATCGCATCTTGAGATTCCTCATAAGGCGTGGAATTTTCAGAGAAGAAACAACGCCTGAAAATCTCACAGCCTATGCTCAAACGCCTTTGTCTCGGCTGCTCACCACCAGCGGCGAGAGCAGCGTGGCGCCCTTGTTTCTGCTAGAGAATGGCCCAGCAATGCTGGCGCCATGGCACAACCTGTGCGCAAAAATCAAGGGGGTCAGTGACGTTTTGCCATTTGAGGCTGCTCATGGCAGCGACTTGTGGGGCTATGCTGCGGCTAATCCAACGTACAACACGTTGTTTCATGAGGCCATGGCTTGCGGTGCTAGGCTGATTCATGTGCCTGCAATACTTGAAACTTGTGGAGAGGTTTTTGAAGGAGTTGGATGTTTGGTGGATGTGGGAGGAGGGAATGGAACTAGTTTGAGCATGATTGTGAAGGCTTGTCCATGGATTCGTGGTATCAACTTTGATCTTCCACATGTTGTGGCGGCTTCGCCGGAATATGAGAATGTGCAGCATGTAGGTGGCAGCATGTTCAACTATGTCCCGAAGGCCGATGCTGCTTTTCTCAAGGTTCGTATATATACAATCAATATTCATGGAATTTCATCTCAAAATTAATTGGCAATGAAAGAATTAAATAGCTTATGTGTATTGTAAAATAAGGTGGGATCCTTAACATGTCCCTCAAGATCGTGTCTCTTTTTGACTCATCGATCTTGGTCGGATCCCACTTTTAGACTGGATGTTCACTTGAACTTTTGGGCTCTGATACAATATTAATATTCATGGGTTCTATCTCAAAATCAATTAGCAACGATAGGTCCCTTATTTTTTTTTAATGTGGGATTCTTACTCCCTCAAAATCGTGGCTCTTTTTTACTCATCGATCTTGGCTCGATCACATTTTTTGACTAGATACTCATTTGAGCTTTTGGATTCTAATATCGTATCAATATTCATCGATTTCATCTCAAAACTAATTGACAATGAGAGGAGGAGTAGCCTAAACTTTTTTTGGGTCCTTTATCTTTTCAATGTGGAATTTTAAACATATGCAGCGTAGCATATGTGTGACGTACAGAGGTAAAGTTAGTACACTCTTTTTAGCCACATATTTACTTTACTTTTCGAGGTTACATCATCGCAGTGGATTCTACATGATTGGGACGATGAAGAATGTATCAAAATTTTGAAGAACTGCAAGGAAGCCATTCCAAAAGATACAGGGAAGGTAATAATCGTAGAAGCAGTGATTGATGAAAAAGAAGAAAGTGAAGTATCCGATGTGAGGGTTATGGTAGATATGGTGGTAATGGCTCATACCAAAAACGGCAGGGAACGAACAGCCGAGGAATTGGCCCATGTGCTTAACAAGGCTGGTTTTAGTCGACACACCATTATATCCATTGGAGGTGTCCCATCTGTTATTCAAGCTTTTATATGATATAAACAGAATGGGATTTGGGAAAAAGTTTTCAATCATAATTCTGGAATAAGGTGTGTTCTATATAATATTATAATAAAAATTGTGTTGGCCCTCGTCCATTCTATACCATATATCCTTATTTTTTACCATCTTTAGTTTCCAAAAACTTTTCTTTTATGTTATATGATAAATAACTTTTCTATTTCCTAGGTTTATTGTAAGTTTGTTGAAGACTTCAACTTGTTAATGAAGTTCTTTGACCTTATAGCTCAATGAAGTAAAGCTCTTCAACTATTAAGCTTGATGAAGTTCTTCGATTTGCAGCTTGATGCACTTTGTAGTTTGATGAATTCTTCAACTTTAGCTAGTAGATGATTCTGAATGATTGTAATGCTCTTATGGCTCTAGATCTTCAATTTTGCTCAATTCTTCTGAATCCTCGTGACACTCTCTATTTGTACAATTTTAGTGGGTCGTCGACTTAATGAGTTTGAGTCCAATCTTCTTATTGGGTTCATCTAATTAGTCGATGTTATGAGACTATCGTAAGAAAGACACGTGACATAATTTGTTTGCCAATTTTAAAAATAATTCAGAACACAGGTAAATTTGTGATGTGATATTTAATAATTAATCAAAATTTCTCATTCACACCTATCTGAACACAATCCACTTTTATTAAAAAAAAAAAAAAAAAGAAACAAAAGAAATGAAGGAAGAAAAAAAAAATTGATAGACAAATAGTTTGTGTAATTCTAGTTTATCCCACATCGACTATGTCGTGTGAGGAAGCTTGTGAAAGGCACCATAAGAAGGATTCTCGGACGATGGTGGAAATATCTTTGCGCTTGGGGCAATGACGCAGCTAGTGAGGTTCTAACCGAGGCGCGTCAATTGCTGGTTGAAAACTATTTCCAAACCCCCTCTTGGGCCTGGGTTTGGCCCATGCCCAAGAGAATTTCTGGAAGGGCTCCCTTCGGGGTAAAGCCCTACAATTCTCCAGTTCAATCATTCTTTTACAGATTTGTTTACTTATTTCTAAATTGAATCCATTATTTATTTTTAAATTTAGGCTTTTATGGAAAGAAAATAGAAATATATTACGAACAAGTTTCCTCGATGAATTAATAACCAAAAGCTATTTTTTGTTTCTTTTACTTATCGATATAATTGTTATTTATTTTACGACATTTTGAAATATTTTTTTAAGTTTTTAGAATATAATTTTTTACCAAATAGAAATATTATACACAAATAATAGTATTTGCTTTATTATAGTTTAAGTTTAAATTACAATTGAGTTGAGGCTAAGTTAATGAATTTATTATCAGCAAGGTACTTCAATATCGTTCAACCAAACCTATGAACACCTCAACCGAAAATTTTAAAGTTTAAGTGATGAAACTTGTAATTTGATGACTTTCAATTAAGAATTTTCAATGAGAGCAATGTTAACCGGAGTTAATCTACTTACATTAAAATTGATCATGAATCATTTTTAAAAATATATATTAAATTTAGTTAAAAGTTTTTTTTTCTTTGATCTAGTAACAATTTATTTCTTGAACTTTAATATGTAACAATTTCATCCTTGTAATTTAAAGTTAGTAAGGATTTAATCCTTATCATGAAATTTTTTTTGTTAAATTTCTTATATATAGATAGATAAACTAAAGAATGACCAAATATGTTTATAACGAGAAAGATTAAATTGTTATATGATAAAATTTGATACTTAACTTTTTTTTATTATTTACGATAGAAATTAGATTGTTACAAATTTTAACCTACGGGACTAAGTCGTTACAAATTAAAGTTTAGGGACTAAATTATTACATTAGTGAAAGTATAGGAACTAAATCGTTACAGATTAAAATTTAGAGACTAAATTATTACTTTAATGAAAATACAGGATCAAATGTGTTTTTTAACCTTAAATTTACAACTGGCCTTTTCAGAGAACAAAAATGAGAAAAATAAAACATCAAAAAAGAAAATGAGAAATGTCACTTGAAGCTACTCGGAAATCAACAACAAAAAGAGAGTTGGAAACAGCAACAATCAGAACGACCACTCAACTCATAAAATACATAATAATATTCCATCAGTTAGATTTTTTTGCGTTCTCAGCTGTGCTTTCCGGTAGCATGAAAAGCGCAGAGAGCCTGTGTTGGTGGATGATTAAGCTCAAAACGGCTGTATTTGCAGCCAAGAACAAGATGCTTGCCATCCATAGTTGAATCAGCACATTCTTTCCCTTGAATTCAAGCAAATAACCCCACATCAGCCAATGAAGCTGTGCTCCCGTCCAGATCGATACCGAGAACACGCCTTTCCATTTAACCTTCATCTTATTCCAAGGAAGAATCAAGGGCAGAAGACAGAAGAACCAGACAAAATATTGTGCTGTGATTACCTGTCGATCATTCTCAAAACATTTATAAGCATTAAGACCTTACCAATGATCTGGGAACATGGGTTCTGGTAGATCCCAAAAGCACAATTAACTCGATAAAACTATGTATTGTCGGGAATTTTAGCTCTACCTACTATCTATAACTTGTTGAGATCAAAAAATGGATTAGGAGACAAACCTTGTTGAATGCCACAAATGCTACTGTCTGCGCAAACCAGCAGAATGGAAGATCTTGAGCAAAGGATAAAACGAGAACAAGCTGCACTACCAACTGGGGTAGAAATGAAATGAGTTTCTCAACCACCGAGAACTCGTGCTCATGGTGAAGGTAGATGTGATAAAAATAAATTGAGAAGTTGTGCCTCGGGTCAGTACGTGTAAGATGGTAGAGCAGCGCCTCGTGCAGGAATTCCCAACCATATAGATAATAAAACAATGCAGTGTAGAAGATGAAAACTGAACCAGAAATAAGGCCGAAAAGGACTCTCTCCTTGGTCATTGTGGATCTCAGAAGAAACCATGGACTAAAAATATGAGCCAATCTCGAACGTAAATCGCTCTGATGTGCCTTTTGGTCACACTGGCTCCATTTTTGAATAATAGGGGTCAGACCAGATTTGAACAGATTTTGATCGAGAATCAGAAGAATCGGAAGGGCATAGATGATCGGGTAGATTCTGAAATGGACGACAAGTCCATACCAAAATGCAGCCTGTAGCAACTGGCCTGATATAGGGAAAGAGAGTTATTTTAAACTATAAATGGTTAATGGTAAACTACTAACAAATGCACCAATACAATATCCCATGAAAACAGTCCCATCTCGCTATTTAAACTGAACATGTTCTGAAATTACATTGCATAACATAGGATATTGACATTAGAAAATTATTTGAAAACAATCATTACTTGATCTACATTAACTTCTTCACATAAATTTAATAAACTCAGCTACTTATCATTTAATATATATATTTATATATTAGAAATTAAAATACATTGCACCAGACCATGAGGTCCTATTTTCAAACTCCTATAATGAAGTTTCCTCCCCAATTAATGTTGATAGTCTCTTACTAGAAGCTCACAAGGGACTCTTAAAAATATATATAAAAGATTAAACAAACGTAACCTATTAGCTTAAAGATTTTGAGTTCAATAACAAATTAACCTAGTCTAATTGGAAATTTTGTTCTGTAACAATGCCTATTGATAAACCAAATGAGATTATTGAGTGATCTTTGGTCTTCCACCATGTAAATCAAAAATTACGTTTAAGCATAAAGTCCTACTTGATCCACTGATATTATGCAATTCACAAGTTCCAGATACATCTAATGACATTATCTCCCAATATCAATACAAACAAATTAAATTCGCACTACCTATTCATCCAAACTACAAATTTGCGTAATTAAGTTTAACAACTTCACATAATTGACACAGTTCCAACTGTAAATCGAGAGAGAAAAGAAACTTACACCGTTCATCAGACATAAAAGGATCTTAAGAACCATTGCACAAACAAGAGGCTCGCAGTTTCCTCTGGTGCCAATGGTAAAAGTAAACGGGTTGAAAAGCCAAACCATAACAGAACCGATGCTCAAATTTTCTGGAACCCCACGTTTCTTCAAAATAGTACGTATAAATATCCCGACGAGCAAATCTAGATAGAATCAAGACAATTAACATAGAAACCAACAGAAAATTCTAATTAAACGAATCGAATCAATAAGTGAAAGGTACCTGATGCTGAGAAGAGAAGTTTGCCCCAACAGCGATGAATTATTGAATTCGGTATGAGCAGAAACGCGAGCAGTGGTGAGTATCTGTAAGTGGATCTCAAATAAGGGGACTTTCCCGACGCCATGAGAGAAGCAGCGTCCGAGAAGACGATGTAATCGACATCAGTGTACCTGACCTCCATGTGCGCATCCTGCCACTCGCCATAGAGGATAAGTACCAGCCTGAAAATCGCGGAGAGCATCAGCAGGGAGCCGAAGGTGAAGGACGCCATTGCTCTGCTGAAGCAAAAATGGCGGCCGAAATGAGGTTCGAGGGGGCAAAGTGAGGAAGACGAACGAAGGATTGGGCTTTGAGGAAATTGAAGCCCACTGGCTACGCAGGTTGGGCCCAGTGTTCTGGGCCTGTCAGCTGTATTATAGTGTTGGATAAAAACCCAGTTTGGAGAAATGTAACTGGGATATCTTTATTTTCTAAAACTATTTGTAAATATTAAAACCTATTTGTTTTATTTGATCTCTAAACTTCCTAAAATTCTATCTTAGTCCATAATTTTCATTTATATATTTATTTTTGTTTCTAGACTTTTGTAATTTCGCAGTAGTCCTAATATTTTGTAGTCCTTTTCGTTAAATTTTTATTAATAATTTAATGTAATTATGAATACATTTTGAAATCCACACGATTTAAAACGTATAACTTCGAGTTCTTAGGGAAATAAATATAAATTTTAAAAAAAAAGTTCTTACATGAATATCTATTTATCAAATAAATGGAAGAAAGAAAAAAAAAGTATTTGCCTTTATTGGATATATTATTTTTAAAATGAGTGAAAAGGATTAGCATAGTTGCAAATTTCGTGACAGAATACAATATTTAAACAAAATTAGAGTTTAACAAACATTAAAGTTTATGTACTAGTATGAGATTTGAATTTTTAAAAGAATAACTTATAATAGAAAATAAATAAATAAAAGAAAGTTTTATTTTTAAGTTCTAATGACCATGCTTAGCTATCCATGGCAGATTGCTCATGGCCCGCAGTCACCTCCTCTTCCATGTGCTTATCCCTCTCACTTCCCAAACTTCCACAGAGACTTAAGACTTCATTTTTCAACCTGAAGCTTGAGAGAGAGAGAGAGAGAGAGAGAGAGAGAGAGAGAAGGAACTTAGACAATGGCTTTTTCGATCATGGCGGCATCTTCCATTAGAGTGCACTTTGGTAGAACGGCACCAATTCGATGTTCTTCCTCCTCTCCGTCCGCGGTTTTGACTCGAGCCAAATCGCTCCAATTTGATCTCAAAACGTACTGGAAAAAGCTCATTTTCGAGACCAATCAGAAGCTGGATGAAGCTATTCTGGTTCAGTACCCCGACGAGATCTATGAGGCTATGCGGTACTCGGTTTTGGCCGAAGGGGCCAAGCGCGCTCCGCCGGTTATGTGCGTCGCCGCCTGCGAGCTCTTCGGCGTCGACCGCCTCGCCGCATTCCCCACCGCCTGTGCCCTCGAAATGGTTTTTCCCTAACCTAATTTTACGTTTCTCGAGTTGGAGTTGCTCGAATCGAATTATCGTGGTCTGTGTACTGTTCCAATATTCACTTGCAGATATTATTTCGAATTCTATGCTTGCAGTTTGTCCTCTCAATCGTCTCTAACTGCGAACTTACTCGAACAGGGCTGTTCAATTTCAATCTCCAGTTATGAATTATACTTGTATGTATGAAGGGCTAAGTTGACCTGAGAATTAGGCAGGACGAATCCGTCGGGGAGGGGGGCGCGCTATTTCATGCTAAAAAATATTATTCAATCACACAATCTTTTACATTATAGATTCCATTTCTCATATTAGCTGTCCAATACGTTTCAAATTTTGAGTTTATTTCCATTGTCATGTCCAAAATCAGTAGTGTGGAAAGTGGTCTTGCTTGCTAGGTTTTAATTGCTTGAAGCAAATATATAAATGTGAGAGAGTTCTTATGATGGCTTTTGTGGATACGGTAGAGAGTCTTATAGAATACATAGTGCTGAAGAGTTTTATTTCTTGTGCTCTTATTTTTCTCTCCTCTGATAACTATTCTTTGTGTGTACTTCTCTTTACCTCTCTTTGAATATTTAACAAATGGCCTTCCTCAGATAGTCCCTACACCGAGCACATCGGTTTCATTCTATATTTTGTCTGTCTCTTAATTTCTTTCTCCCAGCTTTTACATTAACTTTGAGAAGTGACATCAGGATGTGAGTTATGGTATTTCTGTTCAAATGGGGAACTAAGATGTGGTTAGATTCAATGTGAACGCTCAAGAGTATAACTATTGACTTTTGAACGTGAATGAAGACATTATGGGTCCTATGTAACAATGTACTGTGTCCTCTTGGTTGCTTTTATAGCTCTTATTGACACATTCCAAATTAATGTCTGAAATTGATTGTGGGTCTTTTGACAGGTTCATGCGGCTTCATTGATCCACGACGACCTTCCTTGCATGGACGATGACCCCTCACGCCGTGGCCAACCTTCAAACCATACAGTCTATGGTGTCGACATGGCTATCCTGGCAGGTGATGCGCTTTTTCCCCTTGGCTTCCAACACATTGTCTCACACACACCCTCTGATCTTGTTCCCGAGTCCCGCCTGCTCCGTGTGGTTGCTGAGATTGCCCGAGCTGTTGGTTCCAGAGGCATGGCAGCTGGACAGTTTCTCGACCTTGAGGGAGGCCCCAACTCCGTCGAATTCGTCCAAGAAAAGAAATTTGGTGAGATGGGTCAGTGCTCCGCTGTGTGCGGAGGACTTCTAGCAGGAGCAGAAGACCACGAGGTACAGAGATTGAGAAGGTATGGAAGAGCAGTCGGTGTGTTGTATCAGGTAGTTGATGATATTTTGGAAGAACAAACAAAGCAACTCGACGCAACGGATGAGAGTAGGAGGAGAAAAGGGAAGAGCTACGTCGGAGTATATGGGATTGAGAAGGCTAAGGAGGTGGCAGAGGAGCTGAGGAACAAAGCTAAGAAGGAACTTGATGGATTTGAGAAGTATGGAGACAGAGTAGTGCCTTTGTACAGCTTTGTGGACTATGCTGCTGATAGAGGCTTCAGTATTGAAAGTTCAAGTTAAAACTGGGAGAGGTTAGAAGTCTCTTAATATAAACTACAAGTTCTTGATTTTGCTAGTTTTTAACTATTTTCTTTGAAGAATATCAAGGCAACAGGGACAGGACGGTGACCATGTTGATGAAATCAGAGAGCCTTGACCCAAGAGCTGGAGAAAGAGATAAGTTCTTAGTAGACCAAATTAGAAATTACATATTAAAACTTTACTCCGTAAGTTGATATTTTTAAACCTGAAATGTTAATGTTATGGAAATATCAAAAATATTGAAAAGTGCCACAAAAACCAATTATATAAATATGAACACAAAATTAAAAAAAGAAAAGGAGGAACTCTATAATTTTTAATGCCATTGCCTTGATGGATCTCTGAGAGTAACTTGTTTTTATCTTCTTACTGTCTGGTGTAGAACTCTAATATCTTTTTGTTTGTTAATATATTTGCTTTTGGAAGATTGTATAAGCATGATTGGTTATTTTAGATTGAGAATTCATGGATGTCATTACAAATTTTTATTTGAAATAAAATGAAAATTTATATATGATTTTAGTTGTTTTTATTGATTTTTTTTTAAGTTATCAAAGATATAAAATTCCCGCACTAATCTTTCAACTATTAACATGTTATTTTACTTTTTAAAGTTAAATTATAAATTTAGTCTATAAATCTCGTAATAGTTCATAAGAATTGTGTACAATAAATTTTTTGAATTTTTAGGGTTGTATTTGTATTTGTTCAGTCTGCTTCTAAATTCTCATGCCTAATAGATTTATATCTTTTAACTCTAGTTTAACATAAAATTGCATCATATCAATTCACCGTGTAATTTTTTTCTCTATTTTCAAGTACAAACGTGAATCCCCACGACCTTCTAGTTAAAAATAGGTGTTCTAACCAGTTGAGCTATATCCAGGTTAATTTTATCATATCTTTAAATAATATAGTTAGAGTATCATCTAAATTCTAAATACTAAATTAATGACTTAACAGACAAAAAATTAAAGATGTATTAAAAAGAAAATCTGAAGTACAAAGATTAAATAGACACTATCTTAAAATTTTATTAATCAAACTTATAATTTGCCTTTCTTATAATATTATATTTCAAATGAGCAAAGTCGATCCAATTACACACATCTAACTACTTAATCTACTCGAGTTAATATTAACTTTTGTATTTAATTTTAAACAATAAGATTTTTTTTTACTAAAAAAACAATGATAAGATATTATATTTTTTAAATTAATTAGTTCTTTTTGCCCATTTTCATTTAAGTAATAAGTTAGCTTATGAACTTCAAATTGTAATGATTTAGATTCATATATTTTCAAATTGGTAATATTTTAGTATGTAACAATTTAATCTCTATAGTTTAAAAATTGTAACACTTTAATTCTTACCTTGAAAAATATAATCAAAATTAAGCGTCAAATTTTTATCACATGACAATTTAGTATTTGCTATTTATAAACACATTGGATCTCTCATCAATTTATTAATCTACACATATAACTTATAAGAAACTATACCCTCATAAACTGTAAACTACATGGACTAAATTATTGCATACTAAAAATTCAGGCAATAAATTGTTACCAATTCATGGAATAAGTTGTTACAAATTCAATGAATAAATTATTACCGATTTGAAAGTGTAAGAATTAAATCGTTACAATAAGTTTAGAGATTAAATTGTTATTATTTTTTAGTACTTTTTGGTTTGAGATAAAATTGTTAATTCAATGAAAATCTAGGGATCAAAAGTATTTTTTAACCAATAATTTATTTTTTCGATAGGCACTAAATATAAATTTCAATCATATCAATGTGTGCGTAGTTACCCTCTGTTAGCGTCAAGAAAGTCCAACAAATGATTTTAAATCTCGTGATCTGAAATCCAAAAAATGATTTAAAGCTTTTTATCTGGTTTGGAATGAGAATCTAAAATTAATTATATTAAATTTATTAAATTTCTTTGTTGGGATGTTTGTTGGGAATGAAAAGAAAATAAAAATTTTATTGAGCCTTTAATCTAAATTTATTAAGTATAAATTAAAATATGACAAGGTTAAATATATAATTTATTTTGAAATTATGCAAAAATCCAACCATTTTAATTGGAAWTTTTTTTTTATGTAAAAACAAGAATTGAAATACGTAAGATTTTAAATCAATCAAAATCATGTGTCACCAAACAGCAAAATTCATTTGAAATTTGTTATGATTTTGAAATCCTTAAAAAAAATGAGGTATCAAAATATCTTAAGTTTGAATCACCGCCCTAAATGTTATATTAAAAAACTTCCATGAAAACTAGTCCAACATTTCAATTAAAAAAAACACAAAAGAAAGAAAGAAAGCAGAGACAATACGTAAGACTAGAATAATGAGAAGTTATACAGAAAATTACAAAACTATCCCTAAATTATTGGTTGTAATAATCACACCCTAGCCTTTTTAATTTGGTCAACACTCCCTTATCTTACAAAACTTTTTAATTAAACTCTTAAATATTTCAAAATAGCATCCTTAAATTATAAGAGTTGTTAAAATTAAATTCTCGATTCTCACAATTTAACCCAATTTTTTTACATGAATACTATACTATTACCCATGAAAAATGAGTTTTCAAATTTCGGTAACAAAAGTTGATGTAAAAATTTTGAGTTTGATTATACAATACCATGATAACTAAGGCGATGTTGATGCGATATGCAATATTTAAAGCTTCAATCAAAACATTTTAAAAAAATACAAAAAAAAGGTAATACTTCCTAAATTTATAAAAGTAAAATTAAATAACATTTTTGTCATGGTACTTTTGTTGGAGTAACGATTTAGTCATTGTCAAAAGTAATGAATTAACAACAATTTAGTCCATGAAATTTAGCATATGACAAATTTGGCCTTGAAATTTAAAGTTTGTAATGATTTAGTCCTTATTGTGAGATTTTTTATTAAATTTTTTATATTATATAGATCAATAAATCGACGAAGGATTACATTTATTCTTAAATTACAATAATTAAATCGTCATATGATAAAAATTGACGCTTAATTTTGATGAGAATTTTCATGGTAAAAACTAAACTGTTACAAAATTTAAACAATCGAGACTAAAGTGTTACGTATTAAAGTTTAAGGATCAAATAACTACTAATATAATATTTTTAAAAAAACTACTAATATAAGAGTACAAACACTAAAAGTTGCAATTAAAATTTAGACAAATATGTTTTTTAAGCTTGGAAGTTAGGGGTAGTTTTGGCAATTTTGTAGAAGCCCCCGGGTCGGATCTCGGGTTTGAATCATGATATACCCGTCGACGGTACGGTACATCCCGAAGGCAGATCCATCGATTCAACGTTGAAGAAAACTGACGAAAATGGCGAACCAGGAAGAACACAGAGTGGAGAGCCTTGATCTTCTACCTTCTGCAGTGCTCGCTACCATCATGACCAAGCTTGATTTGCCTTCCATCTCCTCACTTGCCTGCACATGCTCCACCTTCCATTCCTGTTCTTCCCAAATCCTCACTTTTCTTCCCAATTTCCATCTCCTGGTAAGTCTCTTCTTCTTCAATTTCTTACTCAATCCTTAATTTATACTTCTCACTGCCCCTGGAGATGAAACAGAGGCAAATCCCCACCCACCCTCTTGCTCCTTCATAAGAAATTACTCTGTTAGGTCGTTTATCAATAATTCGTTCAAATTGGGATGTTCTAAAAAATTTATCGCGTTTGATTTTCTCGTCAAGGAAATTTCTCCAACGGTGGAATTTCTGAGGCCTCGGCTGCCTCCCAACCCTTTCCTGAGAAGCCTAAAGGTGGATTGCGGTCAGCTTAACGATTCGGCCATCCAGCTTCTGCTGAAGCCTTCCTTGCATGAGCTCTATCTGCATAATTGCGCAGATTTCAGTGGGAAATTGCTTTCTCAGATCGGGGGCTGCTGCAAGGATCTAAGGTATGAACTATCTTGATCCCGAAAAGCTGAACTAAATTAAGGGCTGTTTATCAGATTTCCATCACCGTCAAATTGCAATTTAAGATTTCTGTGCAAGTTTCAATGGCGCTGTTATTATTGGGTTTGGGTCGATATTTCCCTCCAGGTCCCTCTATTTGAGTTCAGTTGCTGAAAAAAGGGGTCGGGCAATTCATATTGCGGATCTAGAAGAGTTACTAAGTGGTTGCACACGGTTGGAAGTAAGACTCGGAAGCATATCTGTTATTAATATGTTGAATGAAATATTTAAGTAATTATTTTAAGAAAATTAATGAAATATCCTCTATTTCCTATCGAAAACAAAAAAATTTAGGACAATTGAGTGGCATGGTGTTTCTTAATTATCTTGGCATAATCAAGAAGATGATACTTCCTTATATGGCCCAAATTAGCGTGTCTTTCCCTTTATTTATCACACAAAGTCCCAAGTTTATTATTGACAAACAACAGATCGGTTAAAATAGTTAGAAAGCACAACTGCAGTGTTGGTATGATTGTTTGTTACTCTTCTTCTTCCTTTTTGGGGGTTGTGTGTACAATGCCCGGGAACGAATTCACTGCCGTATGGCCCATGACCAACAATCAGCATCCAGCTCTAGACCCAATGAAATTTAGTGTAGCGAATAAAAGCTTTGTTTAAAGAAAGTCAGCTGGAGGTATTATACTGAATATGATCCCAGAAGGCTCTCTTTCTATCCTCAGTGTCTCTTCTGTTTCTCATTTTCCAAACTCTTAGAGAGTAGTGTGAATGTATGTGGACCAAAGCAGGTTGGCATTAAAAAATCTTCCGTTCTATGGGGCTTGATCCAAGAAAGTTCTAACTAGGATAAAGCTTACACTAAATCTTCCCAGCAAATTGAGCAGAAAATGGAGTGGTGATCCAAGTCTTCTTCATCTTCTTTGTATTGCACACATCTTTGAGGGGTTAAGAACTTTCAGGGTGGGTTTTTTGAATTCTGTCATTAACATTCATTAGCTTTTTGAATTATTATTTCTTTCCAAAATTGGTAGGCTAGGTGGTTAGAAAGGGTACAAATTGTATTTAGGAGGCACTGAAGAAAGGTCTGTGGGTAAATGATAGGTCTTTTCAATCTAGTTTAGTTGTTGTATTCTCCTTACACGTTTGTTTAAGGTGTTAAAATCATGTACGATTGACAAATATTATGCAAATACAACTCTGAATGTGAAAAAAATTCTTTAGGGATGTGATATAATTTGACACATGTTAACCTTTAATTCAGTGGTTTTCATAGTCATAGGTTAGTCAACTTGGACCCAACTACAGATTTATACTTGCTTTTGAGTTCAATTTGCTCTTACTTGGCTCATGAGTTTGTTTTATGCTCGATTTCTGTATTAACAGGCGTTAACGCTGATGTTTGATGTCTCATTTTTCCTTCGTCATAATTTTGCTCGAGTCTGGGCTATGGCTTCAAATACACTAACGTCTCTTGAGATCGGCTGTATATATTCTGTGACGGTCACCGAACTACTTAGCCAAAATTTGGGAATCAGTAATTCTATGAATCGTGTCAGCCCATCCATATGGCCTAACATTGAAAAATTGTGCCTTTCAGTAGATTGCATAACTGATGCTATGGTTGGAGCAATATCAAAAGGTGTTGTCTCCTTGGTTCACTTGGAACTACAAGATGCCCCCATCATTGAACCAAGATTTTCATTTGACTTCACCAACGTTGGCCTTCAACAAATCAATCAGCTATCAAAATTGAAGCATCTCTCTTTGGTGCGAAGTCAGGAATTTCTTGTAACTTATTTTAGAAGAGTTAACGATCTTGGAATCCTCTTAATGGCTGATGGATGTGCCGACCTGGAAAGCATCTGTCTTGGAGGCTTTTGTCGCGTTACGGACACGGGATTTAGGACGATTCTGCACTCGTTCTCTAATTTAAACAAGCTTAGGGTGTTCCATGGAACCCAATTGACCGATCTTGTTTTTCATGATATCTCTGCTACTTCTCTTTCCTTGAAACATGTTAGCTTAAGGTGGTGCAGTCTCCTAACAAACTATGCAGTAAAGAATTTGTCATTAAACAAGGATCTAAAGTTTCTCGACTTGAGAGACTGCAGAAACCTCCGGGACGAATCCCTTCAAGCCATTGGTACCATTCCGAAACTGAAGACATTGCTTTTGGACGGATCTGATATTAGTGATGCAGGATTGTCTCACTTAAGACCCATGGTTATGAGTTCACTAGTTTCCTTGTCTGTTAGAGGTTGCAAGAAGCTCACAGATAAATCCATCACAGTTCTATTTGATGGCTTATCTAAAATAGAACTGCAAGAATTAGATTTATCCAACCTTCCCAACCTGTCTGATGCTGCAGTTTTACAACTAGCCAGAAGCAGGTTTCCAATATCCGAACTTCGAATGCGTCAATGCCCGCTCATTGGTGATACCTCGGTCATGGCACTAGCTTCAATGCGGGTCAGTAAAGACAACCGGTGTGGGAGTAGCTTACGGCTGTTGGATTTGTACAACTGCGGTGGCCTTACGCAGCTCTCATTCAAGTGGTTAAAGAACCCGTACTTTCCGAGGTTGAGATGGTTGGGTGTGATGGGAAGTCTAAATCGAGACTTGGTAGAGGCTTTATCCAAAAGTAGACCTTTCTTGCACGTAGCATGCCGTGGCGAGGAGTTGGGAGCCGACCAGTGGGATAGCTCAGACGTTCTCTATATGCACCACTATGACGAGGTGGATGAATTTGAACAGTGGCTCTTTGACGGTGAGGGAGAGAACGAGAATGAGAACGAGGACGAGGAACACAATGACATGGAAGATGCTGAAAATGATGCACAAAGCTAATCCTATGATTCCATGGAAGGATTTGGATTTGTATGTATCATGTCTATTTATACTCTTATTGTAGGTTTTGTATGTAATGTAATTTCCATCTCATCAACATGAACCAGTTTGTCTAATGGTTACAGACAATTTATTGGATTGCTTATTCATGTTAGGTTTTGTTTTAATTTCTCCCCATAGGTTGTCTCTTTGAGCCACCTAAAAAACCTTATATATTTTCTTTTATATTTTATTCAGCTCTAGAATATAGTCATAACATAGTAATCGTTCGGACTTTGATGTTCTGCATGTCCCCGAGCTCTCAATTGGTTACCGAAACATGGTGTTCACACCGTACATCCTTCAATTTGGCTTGATCTTTTCCCCTCGAGGATTCTTTTCCTCTGTCAACAGGAACTGTACTCTTTTCATGCCCTAGTGGTAGTTTCCAATTAATGAAGTGTTCCATAGTAATTGCTATGTAAAAGGGAAAAAAATCTGTCATATAGTAACACATATGGTTGGTGAAGTTTATCTAAATTATAGGGATCGAATTGAAACTAAATTCAAATCATAAGGACTAAATTGATACTTTTTAAAACCACTCGAATCACATAATTTTTAATTTAACTTTTAAATTTATTATTATTTTTTTTTAGGGTTGAAGTATACATCTCTTCTGCCACCAGTGATGAGAATTGGAATCAAAATTCTTCCATCTCTCTCAATATTATTCTCAGCTTTAAGTGCATCTCATTTGTGGGCTTTTGTTCTGATTCGAAAAAATGTCATTCTCGTGCAATTTTTTTTTTTTTTTAAGCCCATTTCTTTGATAATCAGTTCAATTAATCGGTATTTAAACAAATTCAATTCTACTGTTTATGCCATGTTCTTCTTTAATTTTTAAATCTGAAACTTGGCTTCTTTCAATTTTAATTATTTGAATATTACTTAATTTGTGAATGAGGCAACTCAAAATTTCAGACTGTAATCCTCACCAGCTGACCTGGCATGCTTATCTATCAAGAAAGTTATATTGACAAATAAAGCAGCCAAACAATTTAAAGTAATAATTAAAAATCTATTTTAAATAAATAATAAATGTATTAAAAGTAAAACCCAATTAGAGAAGAAGACTTAACCGACCTTTTCTAATCAAATATATGGCAAGACCAGCTAATCGCCTATTTTCCAAATTTAACATCAATCAAAACAATACGACAACGTTTTACAATTTTTTCTTGTGAGGAAAAAATAAATAAATAAAATAGTACGACAACGTTTTCCACATTCTAGTATAATCCCAAAAAAAGAAAGAAAAAAGTTTGAAAAATATCACAATTCGATTTCCTTTGAACATGAATCTTAGAACAATTGACAAATGATGCGTCCGTACCAATAATTCATTCAGAATTCAAATTTTTACCTTTTTTTTTCAAAGATGTTCCCGAGTCGTTAAAATCACGAATTTATATGTTTTGAAAATACATGAATTCCACGTGATTTTATAACTCGAAACAAAGACCTCTCTTCTAGAGTTAGTCTCATTTATTTTGTTAATTTGGTTCCGAATTTTTTTTCAAAAAATAATTATTGATGAATGTTGACAAAATAATACCAATATAAACAAAAAGTACTTCCCATTTAAAAAAATTAAATACTAAAATAGATCTTATAAAAATTCAAATATCAACAATAAAATAAACTTTTCAAAAATTCATTTATGTTCAAAAAAAAAAAGATAAGAAAATTGTTAACACATCATACATTTTCTAAAATTAAAGATTGTAATTCTCACCCCACATTTCTTTAAACTAAAAATAAAAAGTTGGATGAAATCATAAGAGAGATATTTAGAAAAGGAAGGAAAAAAAAAAGGTTTCATTTGACAAATCCTATATTGTCCACTAAAAAAAACTGTGTTTCGATTGGACATAGAAATGGAAAATGGTAATGAAAAAGGTGAGCATTAATTAATAATTAATTTAGAAAACGGGTCTGTGTCTGTCGGTAATCTCCACCATGATTTGCTTCGTCTAGTGGATTCTTTCTTGGACACAACCTATTCCTATTTTTTTCACTTTAATATTCTTTTCTCAAAAATAAGTTTTCGTTAAAAATTAAAAATCTAATTTCACTTCAATTTTTATTATTTCACGTCTATGATCTTATGTTAATTCTGTATTAGTACTATTATATATCGGTTAATTTTATGTAGTGATTGATAATAGACCAAATTACAAATTTTCATAGTATAAAATTACTTTTTAACCCATTAAAACTTCGTGATATATACCATTCTTCAGGTATAGTTTTGTTTGATCACAGATCGGCAGGTGATCCATCCTTTCGCCCCCTTTGGTCAGTCAGTCGTCTTGATCCGCCAGAGGGTCTTGAGCTAGCTTCCTTGAAGAGGCTTGATGGGAAAGAGAGGTAAAAGAACCTAAGGAAGGTACCTCACAAGCTCTTGGATTCCATGGCTAAGGCTTACTTTGGCAGATTTTAGGTGAGGGTGGAGGAGTAGGATAGGAGGTGAGTGGTTGATAGAACCTCCGGATTCTAGGGAGATTTTGGCAATAAGGGTGGTGCTAGGGCTCAAGACAATTTGGAAGGGGGAGTTGGATCAACATTTTAAATTTTAAAAACTAAGTCAGGAATAGGAGCAATTTTAGAAACTGTAGAAAAAATTACATGCAAATTATTTTGTAAGGATAATTTTCGGTAAAAAATAATAATAATGTAAGGGTAAGTGAAACAAAAAATATATATTATTATATTTTCCAAACTAGACTCTATCTTTTGAGGGTTATTGAACTAAAAAAATAATACATATATACTTTTTAACGTTACATTAAAAATGAGGAGATTTTGAACTTGAATTATATTCTGTTAAATTTGTTAATTGAATAATACTAATTATTAGACATTAATTATGAAATAAAATGATTTTAAGAATTGGATTCTGAGAATTATCCCAAATTGCATAACTTGTGTCTTTTTAGGGTGAAATTATTCATGGGCTAACCAAAAGGGAAAAAAGTTTATGGTAATGCAATAATGGTCCCATTAATTAGAATATCTTCCATATAATCATGCGAATTTGGAAAGAAGAAAAAAAAAAGTTAATTAATAACGCTGTAGCTTGCTGACCAACATAATCTTTTTGACAGGTCAACTAATGCCACGTCACACCAACGGTCTTGTCTTTTATTAAATTCACATAGCTTATCTTATCTCAAATTTTATTGGCCTCCTTTATTTGACAGAAACCACCCAAAAATAAAAGACTTTCTAATTATATTTATACCGATTTTGTGCATATTAGTAAAATAAAGATAAATACTATGAAAATTCGAACTCCTCGTCTTTTTGGTGCAAGAGGTGTCTTAACCCAATTGAACTATATTCGGGTTGACTGCTTTGTTTTTGGGTTGATAATAAAATTTTCATTTTATGATATTTCATTTATTCGTCATTACGATAGATGTATCAACATGAGCTAAACTCAACGGTAATTGACACCCGTCTCTTTTCATTGCAGCTAAATGTTGTAGAGTCATACACTTCTTCTCGCACTATTAAATATACATTATGCATTGATTTGATTGGTTGTCTTTACAAATTTTCATTTAGCAAAGATGCTACATGACTTTCATTTTTAATAAGCTTATTTTAAGAAATAAGAGATTGAAAAGTCTCAATTCATGTAATATTTTTTGCGTTGCACAACCATATGAATTGTAAACATTTTTATTAAAAAAAAGTGTGTATATATATAAATCGTAAAAAAAAATTGAGATATGAAATTATACACAAACTTAATCCATTAATCAAATACCTCTAAGTGACAGAAAATTATACACATTGATTTCATATCTTCAAGATATGAAATCTAATCAAGCTTTTAGTACATGAACTTAATCATAGTTTTTAAGTTAAAATACTAGTTTGGTCATTTTATTTTCAACTTTGGTTCATTTTGGTCATTTACTTTAAAAATGTTCATTTTGATCTCGTACTGTCAACTTTGGTTTATTGTGGTCTCTTTACTTTCAAAAGATTTGTTTTAGTCCTTATACTTTTAAAAAGTAACCATTTTGGATCGTTGATTTCATTTTTAATATCATTTTTCTATCACAATTTCAACACATTACTATAGTTAATATGTTTATTTAAATGTAACAATGACTATCGGTAGAATTCATGTCAAAATCTTGAAAATAGGGACCAAAATGATTACTTTTTAAAAGTACATAGATCAAAATAAATATTTAAAAAATATAAAAACTAAAATGAACCAGAGTCGAAAGTAAGTGACCAAAATAAACATTTAAAAAATATAAGAACCAAAATGAACCAAAACTAAAAATACACGGTCCAAACTAGTATTTTAACCTATTTTTAAAAGTATTTTCAATCCTATTCTAAATTCCATAATCATTGCACTAATATAAAACCATTCATATAAGATTATCCAATATTATTTTTCTCGTTTTGCAAGCACTACTACCTACAAGTTCATTGCAGTGACTTTTAACCAAAAAAACAGTTTTATCTTTATATTTAATTTAGTTTAGTGAGTAAATCCTAATCTAAATTAAACTTTAAACTTCATCAAATGTTAAATATTAATTAAAGATGTATAAGTTGTGAAATATTTATCTCATAAAAAATTACTTATGAATCGACCAATAAATCACATATTGGATTAACAGAATAATCAAAATCGAATGAAATATACAAATTATTATAGATGAAAAACACTCCAACTTAGTCGACAAAATCCAATTGGAAAAAGGTGTCTTAAGTTCAAGTATATAAATATCAAAACTTAGCGAATTAAAATTCATCCACTGTAACTTAGAAAAAATTAATACCAACAAAAACAACATTGATCACCCACGATAATGTTTTCATATATAGTCAAAATTTTCAAATTTTCAAACGATACAAAATTTAACTAATTGACTTCACTGTTCAATTTCAATAAAATAAAAGTTCAAATATTAAAATTAATTGAGAAGCTGAACTATATTTAAAAAATCCAAATTTAAAGATACTCTCGCTCCTATTATTGAACTCAAGAGCTAGGGTTTCATAATAACAAATCCAATTACGATATCGTTATCAATATAATAAATATCAATTTTCCGTTCAAGATATATATATCTTAGATGTTTGAAATTAA